CTCTGGTGTTGAGAAAGCAATGTTTTAAAGATGTGGATGGTTGCAACCATGTGGCAGCTTTGCAAAGGTCCAAAGTAGGTACACCAGTGAAAAAAGCTGTAGAAGTGGTTATGATCTTTATAAAGTGGGCTTTAATCATAGATGGCATACTGACATGTCACACTTTATAACACAATTTAAACAATGAGAATATCCATTTGCTGAAACATTAAGAATTTACTTACCATGCTTTTTGTAAACCACTGTAATGGACAGATAATTTACACTATTTATAAAAAAAATTCTTCCTGTCCCCAAACAAGGCAAGAGGTCTTCTGAGGATGGGTTAGGGAAAAATGGGTAAAACAATGTCCAGAGAAAAGTGAAAAGTAGATACGATCTTGAACACAAAGATACCATTGTGATGAAGAATAAGTTTGTCCCTATGAAAAACAAGATGCAGCTAGTCAGTCCTGTGAGTACACAGTTAACTAGTCCTCTGGGCAGAAGTTATAGGGGCAAGGAAGGCAACCTTCAATGAGAGAAGCCTGATATTACATGTTGCTAGAGATTTGTGATGACACAACCAACTGGAGGTTCTGAGCTGAAACATGAAAGTAATGGCAGAAAATATTAAGTTGTACCTTTAAAAACCATTTAAATGCTGCAAAAAACCAGAATGGCCTTCTGTAGGCGATCTGTTTGCTGAAACTGCTGTCACATGAACGACAAATGAGAAAATACTGAGACTCTGCAAGTGGAAATGTAGAAAATATTCCAAGACAGAGGGCACTGGGCAGTTTCCAATCCCTGGAATCGGTAAAAAGGGTGAAACACAATTTTGAGTCATAGGAGCATCTTGTAGTGATTTCTTTAACATTCAGTAAGATTTGTTTTAAGGAAGAAGAGATCATGCTGTCAAGTGGACTTTATAAATATCAGGATGAAGCACAGTTCCCATGTCCCAAGAAAGCGGATCTCTGTGCTATGATAGATATTGCAAGGTCCCTTTGGACAGGTAAAGATGCCTTGTAGATCATGGCTGTTGTGGACAAAATGGCCCTGTTAATACGCAGTTTCACAGTTGATTGTTTTAAGAACATGCAGAGTGTACATCAAAAGACTGGTCCATCTCACCTGGAAAAATAACTGACACTTTCCTAGTACAGTACATATTGTATTTAGCATACATAATTGAAGCGAAAGCATCGAATTGTGGTATGCCCCACCAAATTGAAATGGGGGGGAGGAATGGATCACTGGTGGTCTGATCTGCCCTTTATGTTCAGCTTGCCCACTCTGAAGAAGTGAGCAGTGACTCACGAAAGCTCATACCCTGTCACAAATTTTGTTAGTCCTTAAGATGCTACTGGATTATTAAATTGTACCCAGTTACATCAAAAGGGATCCTATCTAAAATCTGTAAGGCGATAGTGACAGCAGGAAATCAGGCAAGAGCAATTTACAAACACCGCTGGGAAGAGGATCTTAGTCAGCACTGGGAAGACAAGGACTGGGAGTTGATATGGGCCTCTCCAATGAATCAATCCGCAGTTTTCAACCTCCGGTTACAGCACTTTAAATTGGTCACACGGTGGTACATGACCCCAATGCAATTAAGCAAGATCAACAAAACCAATAACGCCAGGTGTTGGAAGGGATGTGGGCAGGTGGGCTCCTATATTCATTGCTGGTGGAGTTGTCCAGTAATCAACCAGTTCTGGAAGAAGATAGCTCTACGCATAAGGGAAATGACCAGTCATGGAATCCCCCTCAGGCCGGAAGTGATTCTATTGAATAAATGGGACGACTCTACAAAGGAAGACAAGAGACATCTCACATCGTTACTGCTAACAGTAGCCAAACTGACAATAGCCGCGCTATGGAAGTCTCCGGATCCTCCTACACTGTCTTTGTGGCACGACAAGCTGTGGGAACAGTTTGTCATGGCAAAAATCAACAATTTAAATCAGGGGGTTCAGGCCTCTAACACCACGTCGCATATGAAATTTGGAAGGTTTTGGTCACTGGTAGTGGACTATATGATGAGTCACGAGGTACTACCCTCAAACCACATATATCATAGGTGGGTGTTCTTATAATGTTCATGATGTCAGCGGTTTTTGAAGAAGAGATGTAAGCCCGTACATGATGTTTGATAGGTAACAATGCTCAAGGGTGGAAATGGGGAAAGCAGCCTCCATTTTAATTGAGTTTAAAGTAGCTATATCAGACCATCTTGAGTTAGGCTAAGGCCCAGTACTGGTTTACAGTTGATACACTTTTATCGTGGGCATTTGTCTACGCATCTTTGTGTGATATACAGTATAATGCATGTAATGCTTGAACCTTCATTTCCTCCTTCGTGTTTAAGTGTATTTTTAAGCAAAAGAATAAAAATAAATTATTTTTTTTTAAAAAGATGCTACTGGACTCCTGCTCTTTTCTATTGCCCACGCTGATGCTGCCATTTCTGCAAAAATGTGTGGCTGTAAAAGATATCTGATGTCTCCCATACTTGACATGCTATGGTACAAAGAAATGTGAAGCCCATAGCCTCCTGCATGTTTACGCACTACATGTTAAATCTGTTGTTAGTAACTGAAGGAAGCGGACTTGCCATGTATAAGTAGGACAGCTCACAAAGCTTTGAATACAACCCAAAGTTCCAATGCACAGACATGAACCTGAGATTTCTGATTTGATCAAGTCTGGCTTGGTTTCAGTAAAAAGCAGCCCATCTCCATGCAGATGCATCTGTGGCCACAGTGATCATGTGTACAAGCTGCATAAAGGGAATCCCTCTGAGTGGGTTAAGTCTGTCTATGGGGCTTCCCATGCCCAGGCTTCAGGTCCTTCACTGGTCCCTTCTCACTGTTCTTTGGACAAGGAAGAAAATGATGCTTCTGACTGTGACATATCTGACAGCGCTTCATATTTGTGTTTGACACCAGCTGTCGGGGTGTGTATCACTAGCAAACTGGATTTGGAATCACTCACTGTGATTCCAAAATCAGTACAGAAGGCTTGGACTGACCCACTTGGAGTCTGAGGTATAGAGGTCTGAAGGTGAGATTGAGAATGGGTGGACCAACACAAATCTGCATGGGCCAGCAAGTCATGAAAAGAGCCATGTAAAGAGGTGAGTAGTCTAGTAGTTGGTCTCAAAGGAGGTTCTCACTATGGTACTGATCTAAGTGGAGAGAGCATCTTCCCAATCTGCTGATCTCTGATCATAGCAGCAATAGGGTGAATATGAATGATGGAGAAAATGAGAGCAGTGACTAGAGAGGAGGCACAGATTGCATTTTAGTGAGTATTGCTAGAGTCACAATAAGCATCTCTGTGGCCATAGTGAAGACTCCAAATTCTAATAGAGAAAGAATCCTAAGAAACATAGTGAGATTCAGGCAAATGATTCCAAGATCATTACCAACAAGGGCAAGACATCCTTGGAGGAGACATACTTCTTGTGATGAATCCTATAGTTAACATTCCAAAAAGGAATCCACAAAACGTGCCTCCAAGATCTGGAGTGGAGGATCATCTGATACCAGAAATGACTTGGAAATTATGTCTGTGTACGGTCTTTGATCTCAGGTCTGCAGTTGTTGGGTCCAATGGTGGGACAATCCATGGGGATGGACAAGGCACATCTTTGTCAGTGACATACTTGTCCAGTCATTCCAAATGCTTCTTTTTCCTTTTCTTCAACACTGTACAAAGGATGGGACCAAGAGGATGGATGTCAAGCCCTCAACACTGAAGCCATCAAATCCAAAGATGCGACAAATGAAGGATCATTATATCCATGGGGAGATATTATGCCCACATAGAGCCTTACACCTGAGAAGAGTGATTCCACTTAGCCAGGTTTGTGAACCTCTGACAGTGATAAAAAGAATCTATTCTTTGGGCCTCTCTCAGTCAAAAAAGACAACAGAGAATGTCTGTCTGTCCTGGATAATAGTATTAGCATCACATTTCAGTCAATGTTGAAATAGTCTTGAGGGCCGTAGACAGAACAAATCTAAGAACAGACTGAGTTCTGGGCCAAAATAGTGAAGACAACTGATATGAAACCAAGGCAAAAGGGAAGAGTGAAAGGGAAAAAAAATTAAAACAGGCAGTGATCAGAAAGAAAAGATCCAAGAGTGTAGATTACACGCTGATTGAGAAGATCCTTCATAATGCTGCTGCTGTCAATGAAGAATTGAGTAGAAAGGTATGTTTCCACCTGTTTTGGGAATGAGTACTCTGTGACCTTAAAATTGGTTTAGTCAGGGCTTTTTTTGTAGAAAAAGTCCAGCAGGAACTCATTAGCATAATAGGCCACACCCAGCAGTAAAAACTCATTAGCATATTAGGCTGCATTCCCATGTTACCAGAAGTGTGGTCATCCAGCCACACCTACCTTTTGCTTCTTGTTCTGTTTACCTTGTTTGTTGTCAAAACCCAGGGCTTTTTTTGTTGCAGGAACTCCTTTGCATGTTAGGCCACACACCTCTAATGTAGCCAGTCCTAATGAGTTTCTGCTTTTGGGTGTGCCCTATTATGCTAATAAGTTCCTGCTGGGTGTGGCCAACTTGGGAGCCAGCCGGAACTCCATTCCTGTGCGTTCCTGCCCAAAAATAGCCCTGGACCGTATAGTCAATTCCAGGGAAAAAAATTAAGCTTAGCTCTAGAAAGTTCCATGTGACACTCTGTGCAGGTTTGAATGTTCCCTAATGCATCTGATGCACAGAGACAACAAAGAAGAATAAAACTATATTTTAGCCATGGTTAATTGTATACTCATTCTAATACTATGATCCATATTTATCCAAAAAAAAGATGACAATGAATTCCCCTAAAAAAGAGGAGGGTTATACAGGAAGGTGCCCATAACAATTACTTGTATGGGCATTTAGCACAGCCCCTTCTTTTTCTTGAATGTACGTATGGTGTGTGTGTGGGGGGAAACAGTCTTCCTTTCAGGTACATAGGAAGATAAACTGACAATCTGTTGATCATTCACTTACATCTACTGCTGTCATATTTCTTTGGTTGATTGCAGACAATCTGTCTGCTTCTCTAATTTTATTGGTTGCTTCCCTCAGCAGGTCCAGAGCATCTTCAGCTTTGTCTTGGTAGTCTGCCAGCTTGTCTCTGACTTCATTCTTGAGTTCTTCTGTTTTCTTCCTAGGCTCTCCAAACAATTTACTCACTCTCTTCAAGAGGGCTTCTGCTTCTCTGTAACAGAATCAAAACTATTAATATACTGCACATTCTTTACTCAAGGTGTACGTAATATCAGTTTAAAATTGACTTAATTTATGTCATAACTTCTTAGAATACTTCACAAAATATCAAATTCTAAAAGATCTGTCCCATTAACAGTTTGATTGCTCCCTGCTCAAGATGATTTGTTCTGAAGATGCTCCATTAAGATCCTCAAATGCCAAGCCTTCAGAAGTAGGGGTGTGCAATTTTTTTTTACTGTTTTTGTTTCAGTTCAGGTCTATTAGATCTGGTGGAAAAAATGGGATTCCTGAAAAATCCCAGATCCAAATACCAGTATGGTATTTTGATCCGAGATTTTTCAGAAATCCCAATTTTTTTCAGGTCCAATAGGCCTGAGAAGAAAAATACTAGTAAAAAAATACCAGCCCGATCCCGGGGCTGGCTTGGCTTCTCTTGCAGCCCAGTTTAAACTGACTTGCAGGAGAAGGCAGCACAGAACTGCGCTGGCAGGGAGTGATCAGCTTCCCCAGGCACAGCCGATCCTGGCTGGTCTGTTCTCTCCTGCTGCCCAGTTTAAACCGGGTGGCAGAGCTGCACCTGCAGGAAGATATCATCTTCCCATGGGCATAGCCAATCCTGGGTAAGCTGCCCTCTCTCGCTGCCGGAGAAGGCAGCACCGAGCTGCACCAGCATGGAGCTCTCAACTCTCCACAGATCCAGCTGATCTTGTGATGGCTTCTCCCCGCCACCCTGGCTGACAAACAGCGGAGAGGTAAGAGCAATTTGCTCCTGCCTCTCTGCTGTTTTCAGATCTACCCCAAATCCCTACATATATCCAGGATTTGCTCAAGATTTCCCCCCCCCCCAAGTTTTCCCTAGAAAACCCAGATATAATTGGGAAGCCAAAATATACCAGAAATACCAATAAGGTATTTTTCGGGTGTATTTTGGGCTTGGGTAGATCTGAATGCACAACCCTGTTCAGAAGTGGCCTCTCTCCTATTCTGCTCTGGCTCTCCAAATTAGGAACCTTTTGTTTTGGGGGTGTTTTTTTTACTGAAAGTGTGAACCTCTGTGACTCAAATACTATAACAGTGAGTTATGTGGTCCCCTCTTGCATATTGCTGCATACTTCTGTCACAAAGAATACACTGCTTTGGACTGGTTTTCTATGGATGTGCACTTCTATAATTTTAAAATCCACAACATGCACCTCAACAATTGCTGGCAATGTTTCCACATAGGGTAAATTTTCATGGTGTCAAAAAAGGTCTACTCCTTGGAAATATGCTGGCAAGAACATCACTGTGATGCTGGTGTGATGTCATGAAAGTGTAACATTACATACAACTGGAGGAAACAGGAGCACTCATTAACTCAAGCCATTCCTATTGTTGGTCACACATTTATGACCCCTTTCATATTGCATGTTCAGAGCCCCATGGAGTAGCACATGGGCCCATTCTGCATCTAGCATTCACTCCATTGTTTTACCAAGCCCACACTGTAATGGGAAAAGATGCAGCTCAAAACCACAATCAAATTCCCTTGGCCAATGACATACTGATTGCAGAGTCACCCCTGAACAGCCATAAAATGGCCATAAATCTATGCAGACAGTACCATAAAACCAACAGATCAAAGGAAGTGAAACTGGCATATATTGTGGAGGCTACAATAAAATCCGACAATTAAAGGAAGTCAAAGTGGCATGGAATATAGAAGGGAATTTCTGTTCCAACATGGGTTCCGTAAAACAGTGGAGTGAATGCTAGATGCAGAATGGGCTATAGAGTTCAAATTCTACATGGGATGGGTAAGTACTGGCTCAGTAACTACTCTATTTCCCTCAACAAGGCATCATATGGGAATCACCGCAGGAGAATATAAGGACTGGAGAAGCATACAGGTGGTGCTACTCTCTCAAACGTTTAGTTCACATCATGTGCAAAGTGCTTGAACCACTTTTTTGTTGCTGTTGCTACTGATGAACATCACTCATTTCTATCCTTTTGGCTCTTTAAAGGCAGCCTTTCAAAGGAGGTAAGGCCTGGTTAGACATTGTTTGCATCTGACAGTACAAATCAAATCACAACTAGCAAAAAAATAAAATAAAAATCCAGTTTTATTGGGGGGGGGAATCTTCAAGATCTCTTCAACAATTAAGTATGGAACAATAAGGATATTCTCTTGAGAATAGGAATTATTTGGCACATAGAAGCAACATTTTAAGAAGTCCACTAATCATATATGAACTTTTTTCCGGCTCAGTTTTAGTATGGTAATGCACAGTTCTTTCAAAGCATAAGAAGAACATGCTGTTGAACTGGAACTAACTCATGGTGACCCTATCCATGGGAGCATTCCAGGCAAGAGAGGAGCAGAGGTGGTCTGCTATTGTTTTCCTCTGCATTGCAACCCCAGTCTTCATTGGTGGTCTCCTATCCACGTTCTGATGTGGCCAATTCTACTTAACGTTCATGGTCTGACAAGACCAGGCTAAGCCAGGCTATTCAGTTTTTTCACCCAAACAAGACCAGGTTCTTGTGCTGGAGGGTATTCCAAATTGCACTCTAAAGAGAAAATATTTCCCTATTTTTCTATGTTTATCCCTATCTATTATTCCTCATGTATCAGAAGGCTTCATTACTCTGCTTATCTTATTATCTGTAGGAGTGTTTTTGTGATACCAGGATGACTAATGACAGTAATATAGTCTTTGAAATACAGACTTCTACATTAGGTCTATGCTCTTCCATGTGCAGGCCTACAAAATAAGAGCGCAAAACCCCTATACAGTAATCTCTAGATAGGAATTTATTAGCACAGGCATTTTGTTAGCTGTAATATTTTACAGTTATAAAGTCTGAATTGAAAAAAATAACAAGTGAGTGATTTACAATGCTGGATTTTTAGCCTAGCTTCTGTTCATTTTCACATTCTCAACCATCTTCTCATTTATTTATTTAGGTATAGATATACAGAGAGCTAAATGAAATGCTCCTATATGAAGTGACCCTTGGAAATAATCCATGGAGAACTGTAATAACTCAGAATTTCTTGCTTAGTTTTTAAAGGAAAACATTTCTGAATATCAGGGCAATTCTTCAGTAATCAACATTTCCTTTAATTCAAACACCACCACCACCCCTGGCCAATCATCCCTGCTAATTTATTCTGCTCACTTTCACTTCATGTATTTTTTTCTTACTTGAAATAAGTTAAACAGTATTAGGGATGTTGCCCAAATCCATAACTATTTTTTTGTTCCAATTTGAAAGCTGGAGTTGTAGAGCACAGTATCAAGCTGTGGTTGTCTTTCTCTTAACCAAAAACGTATAGTAACATTTACATTACAATGGATGCCTGATTTCTGTATCTAAAAATGGTATAGAATAGTGTGTAACACAAAAATGCTGTAAAATGCCATAGTGGCATTAAAAGCAAAACAAAAACAGAAGTAGCAAATAAATAGGACAAAAAGATTCAGAACCAAAAACTAAAGGTAATGAAAAGTGGCACATTTATACAGTCCTAAGAACTGTGTGTGTGTGTTAAGTGCCATCAAGCTGTTTCCAATTATGTCGACTCTATGAATTAATGACCTCCAAAATGTCTTGTTGCTAACATTCTTGCTCATGTTTTGCACACTGAGTACCATCGCTCTCTTTATTGAGTCGATCATCTCAAGTTGAGTCTTTCCTAAGCGTTACTAACTTCTTTATTCTTCAAAAACAGAAAAATAATTTGTAAACGTACAAGTATATCTTATAAACCACTAGAAATCTATCTGGTTATTTCAAACAATATAGGTATAAAAGGCAGAAGACACTTGAAATGGAAGATGTTTCTGAATGAACAGGGAGTATTTTAACAAAGTCTGAGTCCAGTGGCACCTTTAAGACCAACAACATTTTATTTAAGGTATAAGCTTTCATGTGCATGCACACTTCTTCAGATAACTGAAGAAGTTAGCATGCACACAAAAACTTATACCTTGAATAAAACTCTGCCGGTTTTAAAGGTGCCACCGGACTCAAATGTTGTTCTACTGCTTCAGACCAACACGGCTACCCAACAGAAGATATTTTAGATAGCTATTGCACTCAGATTTATTGGAAATAACTTGACTTACAGTATGATTGATCTCTCTCGCTGTGGGAATGAGACAGAAAGCCAAGCTTCTGTTCCCTCCACTGGCTGAGTCTCCTCCCTCCCCTCCTTCTCAGAGTGAGATTCAGAAGGAGGTGGCTGTTTTGGAGGCTGAAGTTTAGAGACATGTGGTCTGCTGGTAGGGTTGCCAGACCACCCGGTTTGGCAGGGGTTACCTGCTTTTTTGGGCGGTCTACCCACTGCCTGGCCAACTGGCTGGCAGGGGAAGCCCTACCACCCAAGCCCAAATGCCCACAGCCACCCCTCTCCTTCCTCTCTTGAGGAAGTGTGTGCCCGATCTCTGAGCATCAGGTGGGCAGGGCCCTCTGGCTGTGGGCACTTAAAAGGGCCCCTTTAAGTGCTCGCAGCTGGCAGGACAGGGCCCTGCATACCCAATCTCTGAGTGGCAATGCGTCTCGAAGATCGGGCAGGCCCTCTGGCTGCAGGCACTTAAAGGGACCCCTTTAAGTGCTCGCAGTCAGCGGGATAGGGCCCTGCCCACCAGATCTCTAAACAGCAATGCCTTTTGGAGATCGGGCAGGTGGGGGCAGGTGGGGCCCTTGGCTGCAAGCACTTAATGGGATCCCTTTAAGTGCATGCAGCTGGCGGGACTGTCCCCACAGAGACAGGGATTGGAGCTGGGACATCCCCAGTGTGACATCATCATGCTGGGGATGACCCACCCGCTCTGAGGAATGTCCCCTGAAGTCCCCTGCCAGGGACGAAGATGGACCTGGCAACCCTATCTGCTGGTTGCAACGTGTTCTTGGGGCTTGTTTTTACTTTTCCTCTGCAATGCATATGGGCAATCTCTGCAAACACTGCTTTTGCAGCTGGAGAAGGGCTGGGGTGTTTGCAAGCAAAGTTCTCTCTCCATCTCTCCCCCCCCCCATCATTTTGCAACAGGCTCCTTCTGATTAGCTCTCCTGGCAACAAGCTGCAAGTGCTTCCACAGTCAGCTGGTGTTGGCCAATGGGGGGGGGGGAGGGAGCAGCCTGTCACTCAAGCTTTCCCTTCCAGTGAAGAATTAACTCTTCAGGGAGACTTCACCTCCCAGATTTCTGAAATTGTTGCACTAAGAAACTAGGAAGTGCAGTCTGTCACAGAATGGCTTTTCAAAGGACACTGGTATCAGAGCTTGCAATAAACCCAGATGTCAAGTGTGCTGCCACATACACCCAGACGACACAATCACTGGACTTAACATCAATTACACCATCTCAGGCTCATTCACTTGTTCATCTTCTAACATTGTATATTCCATTAAATGCCAATAATACCCTTTGGTTTTCTACATAAGGCAAACAGGTCTAGCCCATGCCAAAGGATAAATGGATGCAAATCTGACATCAAGAATCACAAAGCTGAGAAAGCTGTAGGAGAACACTTTGACTTTCCAAGACATTCAATGGGGGACCTCAAAGTAGCTGCTTTATTGGAAAGGAATTTCAGAAACAGACTAGAACAGGAGATTGCTGAGTTACAAGTTATTACAATACTCAGGACAATGGAACCCCCAGGGCTTAACAGAGATATTGGTTTCTTATCTTCCTTCACATGCTAGTCATTCAGTTCTCACATCTGTTTATAAACTTTTTTATTATGATGTATGCTAATTTGCTGCTATTCACAGGTCTTAATAATTGCCTTAATCCAATCTTAGCTACATTTATTGCTCAGTTACTTATCCATCTTGACACTAATTAGCGCTTCCTGGCAACACCCTCCCCATCCTCTCACTATATGTAATGGTTGGTGACTTCTGTTTCAATGTATCTGAAGAAGTGTGCATGCACATAAAAACGTATACCCAGAATAAAACTTTGTTGATCTTAAAGGTGCCACTGGACTCAAACTTTGCTCATAGAATCCTTTTGTTACTGAAGTCACAGTTAATCGGAATGAACCAAAATTGCTTATGAATTTCACTAAATATAAAAGGATTACAATCATGATTGGATCTCTTGGGGTTCTTTAACACTGTAAATCAAGTGAGTGTGTTTGTATGAAACAGATTTGGATTATGGCTATAGAGCTGAGGGAGAGAGGGGTTTTTTTCTTCTACACCATTTTCCAAAAGCATCACAACCAACTCACCCCGAGGTAGGCCAAACTGATTTTGATTGGGGAAACACTGTGTGCATGGTGGAAGAAGAAAGTGTTAACAAGCACCATGGCTCCAGTTCAAAGGAGTCCCCTTTTGAATGTTAAAGAAAATGTCAGGAGAGCCAGTCACAAAACTTCAACATAATGTATCACTAGGCCACAGAACACTGTGTTAATGCAACTTATACTACTTACTCTAATTCATCTTGGGCAGCTTCCTCTTGCACTTGCAGTTTTCTTCTTCTGAGCTCTGCCATCATTTTGTCAACATCCCGCTGTAATTCCTGAAGACTTTTCTCCAAGGGCTTGTCAGGGGTTCCAAGTGTCTCATTCACTTTTAAAGCAGTTTCATTTGCAGCTGCAGAAAGGGCATAAAGTATATGTCAACAAACTGAGCACATTAAATATCATCTCTTTTTTCAAGTGGATTTTAATTTATAGCAGAAATTCAAGCAGCTGTCAATCCAATGATCAGTTAGAAATGAGAAAAAATATTTTCCAGTTTATTTTAATTGCATTCCATTCTCATGCACAATCACTAAAAGAGAGAGAGGAAATACTCTTGGAGGGATCCAAAGATTCTGTTCTGGTAATGGTAGAGCATTCCTTTGGTGCAAATAGTCTTGCATTAACACTATGGGAATGTTCTGCCAGTGGAAGGTTTCTTGCATCAGAGGAAGGCTCCACCATTACCAGAACTTAACCTCTGGTTCCAACCTGCTGTATTTAGGGCAAGGGTAGGCAACGCAGGATACATCTGAGAGGAAGGCTTTTCTCTCGTTTCCCCCCAACCAAACAACTGTATTTTATATGTGTCAAGACACCAAGAAGGACAGGGAACAAAACTGGGGCAATTCCAGCAGCTGAAATGAATGGGGGGTGACCCAAGATGTGCAAGCATTAGAATTAAAAACTTTATACAGTTATTTTGTTTTTAAATTGTTTGGCAATGTTTAAAATGTTTTAAAAATTAATTTTAAATTCAGCCAAATTGAGTTTATGCAAGTTTTCATTTTGTTTCATTTCCAGTACGACCCATGACATGCCCTGTGCTGCCTATGATTGGCCCAAGCCCTTGGACACATGACTTGAATGCACAGAAGCAGGAGGGAGAAGGAGTGCACACATGGGCCCTATTTTAGCCCTCCATGTGTTCAGGGGGATAACTGAAGGGAGCTAACAGTGTGCAACTGACGTTGGGAGCTGGAACCATATATGTGATTCCACTTCTCTCCGTGCATTAAGGGCTGTAGAGGAAAGAAACTGTAGGCAGAGGCTAACAGACAGAAAATCAGTATGCATGACAAGATCATCAGATCTGGTATTAGAGCAGGACAGGAAACAAAATATATGTTGAAAAAGAAATATTCAATGTAATATTTTGAATTGCTTTGAAAAGCTGTTAGGAGTAATACCATTATTTTTGGATACACTGATAAATTTGCTTGGACATTGATTAGGGTGGAGCAAAAAGTCAACAGTATAAAATCAACAAAAATCAGGTTTGGTTACTACACTGTGTTATAAATAATATGTCAGACAGCCTAAATTTAAGGTTAGCTGTACCACCAAAGGTGTGTCAGCTAGGGAAATGACCAAAAAATGATGTTACAACGAATGTATCTGTGATGCTTAATAATTATTTCTGATCTTGGAAATGTCTTGCCGGGCTTTAGAACTAATCTAATTAATGGCTAAATTAATATTCACCAAAGTTTAAAAATACCAGTTCTAAGAAGATTCCTATGCAAGTAAACAAAAAACAATAGCTAGTGCTGTCATTTGTTTCTAGAGAGAGTTACTACAATTGTCATTTTTTCAGGGTTCTGTGCCTTCCCTAATATCTCTAGAAGTTAAATCTCTGAGTAAGTAGATAAGTAGATGTACCTTGCTTCTAAAGAACATGCATGTAAACACGAACACAGACTTTTTTCTGCCATCATCACAGCTGATTTATGGCAATCCCATGAGGTTCCAGAGCAAGAGAAGATGATCTGCCATTGCCTGCCGCCGCATCACATGAACATAAGATTACTTCAATTTCACATGCTGATGAGACTCATTTCGAACTCCTGACAATGGAATGTAGGACTGGTATAATGTTCTACTGAATCTTTGAACTAAAGAATGAGGACCTTCTGGACAAGTTATTGCAAAGTCAATTAATACAATAAAGAGTGGGCAATTAATAGAATAAAGAGCAGGCACGGTAGATTCTTGATCGAAGTGGAATCGGCTGGGAAATTTGGCAATGGTGCTTCGTACGGACAAACCCCAGCTGTCACTTGGAAATAGTATGGAACACAGTGTAGATCTTTACACTGGATTCAAATAGGTAAAAACAAATGCTATTATCCTAGGCTACCAGGGTAATATAAACAGTTCCTGTAACATGGCATAGGCTGACAATCTGTAGCATATTTCCACTCTGGGATATACTTGGGGTGTGGTCACACAGTCGTTTTGATTGGGTTTCACTGCTGTTTCCTCCCGCTTTTAAAACCGTTGACCAGACGGGCTGATCCATCTCCCACGCTGAAGCGGGCTCACTCCTGCAATGCTCCCGGTTCTCTCGCGCGTTTTCCTGCACCGGGAAAATCAAGTACTTTCCCAGTATTTGTGCTTTGCATCTGTGATTTCACTGATCTGGACAGGCATCTCTCGCAATGATTGCCATTAGGGTCATCTGACCGTCCTTCGCATTATGAGGTGTTTTTTTTTCCAGCTTCCACCTTTGAGCGCATGAGCAATGATTGAATTCTATGTTTAAACATTCAAGCGCACATCCCCCCCTTCTGATTCGCCTGTTGTTTACAAGGCATGTCCCCACTCGTTGGCTCCGTGCTACCAGCCTCTGATCTTTCCCGTCTGTCCCCTCTTCACAGTCTGCTTTCCCTTCTCTCCGGTCTCCGAGCAGTTAAAACCCTGGGTTGCCAGCAAAGTAAAGGGGGGGTGGATGGTGGAAATGGCTGGTCCTTTCACAGCTGCAGTAAATTTCTGGACGGAGTGAGAGAGAAGTGAGAGAACTGAGAGGAAGTGCCCGCCTGCATTTGTGTGTGTGTGCCTGTTATATGAACTGTTGCTATGGACGGCACCACGCCTCTGAGGCTGCAGCTGCACAAATGGCTGTTTTCGCCCGTCCTTCTGGGCTTCTCCCCTCCCCTTCAAAAGCGGAGGCTGGTGGAAAAGACAACAAATGTGATAGAGCCTCCGATAGGCAGACAATGATGGGAAGGAGGCATTGTTTCTCCAGTGTTTGTATTGGAGGCGGGGAGGGGGAGAAAGACGACCAGGTCGGTTGGGAGAAGCGACATAGAGCTTGTTCGCCTTGGCTCCACAATTCTGGCTGAGGCGCCTCCTTCTGCCCCACCACCTCTTTGCAACTCCTGCCGTTGATGGCTTTGTTTGTGTGTGTGGCCATGTGGGGGCAGCGATTCAGCTGTGTTCATGTGTGCATGCACAAAGCAATTAAAAAAAAACCTCTCGCAGCTATCTGGACGGTGCCTGGAGCCTCATTGCACGATGCAAGTGGTTTGGGGAGGGATGTGTGATCATCCCAACCTGAAAAAAATATTCTCGGATCAAATTTATCGTGGTAATAAATCGCAAGAAGCTTGCCATGTGACCACAGCCTCAGTTTCAACTGCTTCATTCCTTTTGTTATTGTTTCTGTTCTTCCCCACCCCCCAGGCTCTAGTTATAGCTCTCCACTGCGCTTTGAAGTTCACAGAATCAAATTGTCCGTACAAGAATAGCTGTCTCAGGTATGGCTAGCCATTATTTGCAAATGATAAATAGCAGATGTTCATTAACATAAAGTAGTAATGTACTTTTAAACCTATTTTGAGACATTAAAGATGTACTCTTGATTCACCAGGCAGAATACTAACACTACATGGAGTTTTCGCTAAAATGAAATTTTTACTGCCGTGAAAGTAAACAATAGCAAAACAGAAGGTCACCATCAGTTATTTAATCATAACAGCTAGTCTTCAAGAACCTGAATGGCCCTGAAGGAACACATTTAATTTCTTGCTATTTGGTGCTTGTAATTGCAAATGCACCAACAGTTGTAGCAAACTGCACCCCATGGGTTGCAGAACGTCTGCAGTTAGTTGGCTGTGGTTTCTCCTACTGAACTCATTTAAAGCCCATCTTTTTAATCAACTGATTCCTTTCAGCTTGTGAACTCTTGGCTACTGCTTTGTGTTCTTCTTCGTAAAATGTGCTCCACTTTTCTTGAGAAGCTATTGACATGTTTTTTCATTCTCCAATACCTTCTGCAGCCTGAAGGGTGCCCTTGATGAACTGTCCAAGCCTCTTTGCTCTCTCATTAGTCCTCTCGGCATCCTGTCCGGTTTGCTCTCCATCCGCTGTCACCTTGGTCGCCTGGCGATACAGATTAAAGAAAAGTGTAATTAATGAACATGACAAGGAGACACTCCAGCTGTCTGAATCTACTTGGAAACCCTACCTAAAGCAAAAGGCAATCAATGAGTTATTGATCAGATATACTGGAAGTGACACACACTTTCCCCAAGTACACAATTACATTTTATTACTTCTACCATTAAAGAGGCATCAGAGGCTTTATTCTTGGTTCTTGGAAGGTGTACTGAAACAGGACACTATGAGATAAGCAAAGAAGGTTATTCTTTGATTTTGTTCACAGAAATCATTCTCAAAACGCGTGGTGCACAATCGAGAGCGAAAATACTGAGGTCCCACTGAAACCATGAGATGTGTTTTTCTATGTATTGCAACTTTTTTCTTTTCAACGTAGCTTGAGTATACCACATTTCTCTGGATCATACTGTTCGTAGATACTGTAGAGTCTCTTACAGTACTGATACTATAGACAACATATCAGTAATGAAGGCTCCCATCCTGAACCCATAGATCCAGTAATAAACCCTCTGTCCCTCCTTTCTGTGCCATTGGTAGAAGTGAATAATCGAACTGGGAGAGCTTGCGTTTATTAGAATTTAGAATGTCCTTGATTTTTAAAAAAAAAAAAAAATTATAAACCCAGTGTCTAGATGGTATAATCTAATCGATTCAGTGACATTTTGTGTTCAAATCAATCCAGGATTTCCTGGTTCAAGTCATTCACTTTTCCCTAAAGAGAGCAGAATGGAGATGCGAAGAGAAGCCTTGCTCCCAATCTTTTTCAGGGCACAGTAAGTCACTCCTCTTCACTGAAGCACAATATGTACAATCAAGCAAATGGTGAGGATGCAGACTTTTACCCTCGTGCAATTCTGATAGTACTTAAGAAGCAGTAATAGCCTTTTGTTTTTTCCATTGCATATGCAGATAACTTCCAGTAGCTTAGGAACACAAAAAGGCAGAAGTTCTGCATGGCTGTGAAATTTACAAAGAGAAGGAACAGAATGAACAAAATGGGATCATGCGGCTTCTGAGCTGAAGTCTCTTCAGTTATTCACAGGTAGAAAAAAAATTGGTCTGACATGATTTGAGGAACTATTCTTTTAATCTTTCAGACCACATAATTGACTCCTTAGAAGGATGAGAAAGAAATAAGCAACTGTAACCCACTGAGGCGTAAAACAGTGGGTAAATACAGATGACCATTTGCCAAGTGATTGTTTACAGCAGTGTATATGTGATCACTAGTTAATCTGTGTTTTCTTCCCATGTGGAAACAAAATCTTGCTATATTTCTTTTTTATATATATAATTTTTAATTGTTTTACATACTACTTCCTAAAGGGAAATGGGATGGGGGATACACTAAATAAAACTAAGAAGTTAAGACAAGGATCAAAATACATAGATTGTGTTTACATGTAGCAACCTACAGTATTAGAAGGGAAAAAAAGAGTGGCAAATATTGTGATATCACCATACACATTTTTAATACAAAAAAGCCAGTTTAACCCATTAGTTCTATTTTTCAGGTGTCTAATCAAGTTCTATTAGTCTTCCAAGTTAATATCTACTTTTTGTTCTTCTTGTACTTCGGTTTACTTTTAGGTGTTTTGGGGGCAGCCGCACCTTTTTCCGAATCAGAAATCTCAGAGGTGCTGGTTAAACTACTTAAGGTATCTTCTGAATCACCATCACTTTTGTCTTCTCCTTCCAGGTTATCCTCTTCTTCAGATTTTTTTGTTTTTTTCACAAAGTCTTTGGCTTTCAGAACAGAATCAATCTTAATCTTCTTGTCATTATAGCTGAATATCAATCCTTCTGGGAAAGTCCATCTATAGGAAATTGTGTTGTCTTGAAGGAAAGTGGTTAATTCTTTATATTGACATCTTCACTTCCGCAGCTCAAATGGGATGTCTTTTAATACTTTTACCTCTTCATCTTTAACTTTCAAGGTTTTCCCTGATGTGGCTTTCAAAACAATGTCTCTGGTAGATCTTTTAGAAAACTTAATGAACAGTTACTTTTTCTTAATAAAATCCAAATATATTCGATAAGCCAGGTCCATGTCATTTTGCAGCTCGTCTTTTTTAAGTTCTATAAGTGGTGCAAGCTTCAGCCATAAGTTCTTTTAATTTTGCCCCTTTCTGCTCAGGGATTCCTTGGAAACATAAGACATGCATTGATCTTTTCATTTGAAGTTGTAGGAGTTGGCCTTTATCCACAATTCTCTCTTTCTCTACTTCTTTCAATCTTTGATTGATGTCTTTTGTTTTCGTCTCCACTTTTCTAACAGCTTTTTCTGTGTTTTCTGCTCTTTTATCCATTCTTGTCAATTGCTTTTGAACTTCCTTCAACTTTGTGTTGATATTAGCCACCTGCTCCAGAAGAGGGTGCAGTGCCTGAGCCAGCATATTAGGGAAGTCAGCATCCGCTCCCTGTGGCTGACTGAGAGTCTATGGTTGAGAGCTTCCTGTGAAAGGTGTTTTCTCAGGCGCCATTCTTCTCCCTCTGTCATTGTTATACAAGAAGAAAGTTTATGGATTTAAACTCAAGATTCTCCGATTGAAAAACACCTTGGATTAGTTTGCACCTTTCGCTCATAAAAAAGCCTCTGATGGTCAGTTTCTTATTTCCTGCCTTTAAACTCGTTCGGGATCGTTGGGTTGAAAAAGAGGGGGGTGTTGTGTACTGGAGAAACTGCGCATGCACTCAGGTCCGCACGTGGCCATGCAAACAGCACAAGCTTCGCTCCAGAGACAATAGCCCGAACGGATCCTAGGGTGCGCCTATCGGATGGCTAGAATCCAAGAAGGGACCTATGGGACTTGGGTGCACTGTAAATATCCTATCACGGGGGGTGTGTGTGTTGGGTGTGGTTTACTACAGGGATATAAGTCGGCCTCCGGCCCGGCTACTTCATCTCAAGTTCTCCTGTATACAATAAAGAATGAACTGAAATCACTCCTCCATGCATCTGTCTCAGTACTTTATACTGGTGACGAAGGTGGGATCCCAATGAGCGAGCCTGACTCTTCCTCCAGCACAGCACCAATCCATCGGAAGCCACTGCGCCCCGCATCGCTCATGAGAAGCACCGCAACATGCATTGCTCCCCAGGACACCGCTCCCTGCTTCGCTCGAGAGTCATGGCTGTTCCTCCAGGACACCTCAAAGTCTTCAACCCCAAACACCCCAAGTTCTGGGAATCGTGGGTAGACCAACTGACCACCTTCTTCGCCTACCACGAGGTCACCGACGCAAGCAAGAAATGGGCCTTACTCCTCAGCACATGTGGGGTGGCCACCATCTGCCTGGCCAAGGGCCTCCTAGCACTGAAGAAACTAATGGAGAACATATACGATGAGATCGTCGAGGTCCTCACGAAGCACTATGCGCTGAAGCCCACCATGATGGCCAAGCGCATGGACTTCCAGACATGCCTCCAGATGGCCACCATGTTTGAGGGCTCACACCATGACCGTCCATCAACTTCAACACACCACGGAAGGGAAACTCACGAGCCTGCTGGGACTTGCGTGGTTTGGGCCCCTGGGATTTGCAGTGACAGGTGTAAACTTGGTGCAACCTCAGGACTTTAATTCAGTCTGCAGAGAATTCCCGGAAGTATTTGACGGCACGCTTGGCCACTACTCCGGGTCCCCAGTTTCCCTTGAAGTTGACCCAGTGGTACGGCCTATCCAGATGAAGGCCCCCGTTAGCGCTGCACCTTAAGATAGAAGCTGAACTGGACCGCCTGGTAGGGCAGGGAGTGCTAGAACCAGTGCCGCCTGCCTACTGGGAAATCCCCATCGTCACCCCATTAAAACCTAATGGAGACATACATATTTGTGCTGACTATAAGTGCACCATTAATAAGGCACTTCAAGACCACGTGTACCCGGTACCGGTGGTCAGCCAAGTTTTGGCTTCCTTGGCGGGAGCTAGGGTTTTCAGGAAGCTGGACTTGGCCCAGGCCTATCAACAGCTACCAGTGGATGATGCCTCAGCCGAGGCTCAAACCATAGTAACCCACAGGGGGGGTTTCAGGGTGCGGCGCCTGGAATTTGGGGTGAGCGTGGCACCGGGAATTTTTCAAAATCTGAAATCACTCCTCCATGCATCAGTCTCAGTACTTTAGGGGGGGGGGGGAATACCCAACTCCTCCAAAACCTGCCGCTTATCTTGTAGGCAATCGCCGTTCGCCTAAAGGAATCTTGCGCTTAGTAGGGGGATCGAGCAGCTCACAGTTTTGTCGGCTTTAAGTTGTCATAAGAGGGCATTATGCTAGATCTCTCGTCTGCTTCCTTCGGTAGCAGATTCTAAGTGCCATCCTTCAGGGTGGTCTGGACCTGTCCAAGACCCCTCCTGTCCTCCGTGTCTCGGCACGTCCACATCAGAGCTCGATGGGACGTGTCCGATGTACAAATCGCCAAAGCTGGAAGTCTCGAAATCTTGCTATATTTCTGTGCATCATCAGGAAATCAGGGAAATAGGGAATGGTAAAATTATCTTCATCATTTGGCAATAGTGCTGTCAACAGGTCTGTAGAAAAATGTCCTGTTCCTTTAATAGAGGCATAATGTATGGAAATAGACAGTTGAAGCTTTTCATGGCATGGAGATAAATAACATTACTTGGTAAATCACACCCTATTACGCCTCTATTAAAGGGAAAGAAATGGGCATTTTTCTCTAGGCAGTTGGCAACGCCATTAGGCAAGACAACTTTCCCCACTTTGTAGCAAGTTAAAATAGCTGAGCTTAAAAGATTAATTACTATGCTGGGCACCACCTTTCCAGTTTCTTTCACCTTTCACAGTACTCCAACATGTACTTAAACTATCATCTCTATTGAAATCAGTTCAAATTGGATTTCTTGCCCACTAGGTGGCACACTTTATATTAATATAATCCTCTCTGATCAACTCATAAAATTCCAGTTTCGGCAGAGTTTGTTAATAACAAACAACAAAGGTGTCATCTCAAGAGGATTTTATCACCTACAAAACTGAAGTGTTTCTAATAACAGATTACCCCCATCCCCGCCCCCGGTCTTTTCTAAATCAAGTTTGCTTGATTGGCTCTAAGTCCTAATGGAGATCTGATACTTAATACAGGATTTTCTGTCTTGCTTGGTATCTCTTAGAGACGCTGGACTTATTCTGCTGGACAAATAATACCCACAAGTCAAAAAGACAAACGGGGGGGGGACATAACCTATTTAAAAATCCTTTGAATGTGACAAAGTGGGCATATGCCACAACAAATGCATTAGTTTTTTTAAGGTGCCACAAGACTCTTCGACCTTTTCTATATTTTCTTTCAGTAATTTATAACTGATGAAAAGCTGAACAAAAAGAAAGTATGTCTTATGACAAATTCTGTCACAAGGTGATTCTGTTGCCATCGCTCATTCTATTTTGCTGCCATCTGGAGCATGAGAAAGTTACAAAACTGTTCAGCTAATAACCTTATAACTTGTAGGCCCAAATCTTTATCACACAGTGGAATATAGTTTTCTAGTTACATAGCTATCATTTTGAAGTTGGATGTAAGGCAACTAAGAATAGTGTCTGACCAGATCCCCCCCCCCCCCCTGGTATACTCTAAATATCCTGAGTGGTGTACTAATCTTGAGCATGGTCCCTTGCCAAGTTGGAAGAGAGCTTGTCACTTGAGACAGAAAGCTGGGGTCCTCACATAGGAATAAGACTGCATACGGTTAGCAGCCTGCCAATTCAGGAAGCAAGCTAGTGAATCACAACCTGGAGTGGGGAATTAGCATCTTACTAAACCAATTAATAGAAAGAAAACATCCATATAATTTAAAATGATAACATAAAACAAAATCACATCTGTTCACAGAAGCTGACCGATTTTTCTGTCCACTCTTCCAACAGGAATTTTGTGACTAAGATCTCATGCATATTAATTAACATTCACACAGAGAGCCTAGAGATTACTGAGCATCTGTGTGTCCTCCACAGTAATACATCCCTTAAGAGTCCTGAATAGTAGTTCCAATAATTTTGCTTGCTCCCATTGATTAACTGAGGAATATTTGGAATTGCTTAAAGAAGCCAAGATTTCTATCCATTTTCTTTGCATGGGCTATTTATTGTAGCTATTTTTATTCAACAAGTATTGTATACTTTTCCTTTTGGGGGGTAATAAATAAGTGGAGATTCAGATGCTTACTTATTTTGTAATTAGCTAGTGTATGAAGGAATCCAGCAAATGATAGATTTCAACAAAGCAGAGTTAAGCAGCCTGTTGAAAGCATGGAAACTATGGAAGGTACCATATACCTCTGTACAACTTAATTTCACTGCATTCCTGTTATGGTGTAGCTAAAGTCAGGATAGACCCAACTGAAATGCAAATAGAAGGCTTTTACAAGAGGATCTTGCCTGCCTTCCCGTAGCATGTCCTGTGCATGGGAAGGTGATTTCACATTGTTTTCCCACCCCCATGCTCCATGGTGCTCTGTTTGTAGGGGTCCCCCAAACCTCAGCAGAAAGATCTTTTGCGGTGTACAGAAGACTGCTGAGGAAAGGCCGGGAAAATCTTCAGACATGAGCTCCTTCCACTCATACTTCCACAAGATCTAACTAATCTTGGACCCCAACTCCACCAACCTGGTTTCCAAATGTACTTAACCAGGTGAGATACTGAGAGATCTGTGTTCAGACAATCCCAGAGTTTTTAGAAAAGAAACAACAACCCTTGTGCTGTTATTGGCCTTTCAGGAAAAAAAGAACACCCATCTTTTTGCTTTCCAGGAATAATTACCGTGTGTATGAAGGTGGAGGGGTCAATTGGCAAAACCATGAAAAGTTAAACCCCCGTTCCTCTTGCTCAGCCCCAATATGAACTGGTGTCTGTACAGTTACTATTTTTGTTTTTAAAATGCTGGAAATATCTGATTCTGGATTCCCAGCTTGTTTTCTGGTTCATCTTTAAGGTGTATCAAAGGGGAACATGGCATATTAGAAGAAACATGCACTCAGGTAAAATGAATTATTCTTACTTTCAATAATACCAGCAGTTGGTTTTCATACACATAATCATTACTGAAACATTTGCAAGCATCCCTTGTATTTTTAATGTTATGTTGCTTGTTGGGGTTTGATGGATAAGACTAACAGTGGTCAGTTGTTCTCCGGACTTACATACAATATAAATACTAATACTAACAAGGGGTCATTAGTTTTCCAGTCTTAGATAAAATACAAATACAACTTGATCCTTTAAAAATGTTCTTTCTCTTAATAAAATTCATATTTTTGGAAGAAAGTATATCTGAATATCCTTTTTCTGTAATGCCATGACAGAGGCAACACACACTTTGAGCACAGGTCACAAAACAGTGGGACGAATTGTAGGCAATGCCACTGTAAGTTGCTGGTAAGTGATAGGATGTTACCACCTCTCCCTTCCCACAGCAACTGTCATTTGATGGATGAGGTAAACAGAAGTTATTTCAATCGATTTCCCCTTCCAAATGAAGCTGCCCATGTTTCACTGCTTTTCATCCATGCAGGCCCCTAATCCTCAGCATCACCCTTTCAAGCCTGGCACGGGAAAGGAAAGATGAGGAAAAACACTTCTGCCATCCTCTTATGCTGCTGCCAAATAGAATTCAGCCCTAGCACATACATACATCATGAATTCATAATTCATTTTTAAGATACCTCCTCACTATCAGGTCCCATTCTTTTATTACTGGAATGTTAATATTAAATTAACTTGAGAAGTTGGTTAGTAATGATATTGAAAGTAATGACATAATCAGCCTTTTCAACATAATTTCCAGAATAGGGATGGTATAGAATAACATGGGATTGAACCTTGGAACAGTGGTACTCATATTTCTCGGCTATCATAAGAATGACTGCAGTATGCTGAGAAGTGCTCTAAAATATATATACATGAATAAAATTAAGTAATATGTCTGGACACAGGGAGACCTATGACTCAACTGGAAACTAACAAGGAAAAAAGGCACCACAGAGCATGAAGCCACCATTGCAACAACTGATCAGTAGTTGTCCCAGGAGAGGTTGTCCTCATGAGAGGACCGGGGTAGCCAAGGGACATGCGTGGCCTGCCATGCTGTCTTTAAATGGGACTGGGACAGGGCTAATGAGGATGGTCTCAGCTACCTACTTCAGGCTGCACAGGAGAGGAGTTGCTAAGAGGAGGAAGAAATGAGTGCTCCCTCTCCCCCCTTGTCTGAGGTCACATGGGAATGGGATCCCAATGTGGAGCCTGAAAGAGGTGGGGTATCACATAATACATTGTTCTTTAAACGAAGTGCAACATCTCTCCCATTGCCCACTAAGCTCACCCTAGTCAAAAGCTCATCCATTTCTGTCACAAGGGTATCCAAGTTCTTCTGTGCCAACTGGAGGAGTCTCTCTGGTGCTCGTTGTGGTGACAATAAATGCTGAAGGAGTAAAATCAAACATTTTACATTACAGATTGTAGAAAGTATGGCGACTGACAGAATTAGTTTTCTCACAGCACTGACTGCTTTAATACTAATTATTGTTACTGGATACCCATCCAAAACTTTACATAATAACTTTCATATAAGAAGGCATACCATGTATGCACATGTTAGATATACCCATCACTTTGACATGCAATGCAGATGCTTTAGGAATGTTATTTTACATTTTACATTCACTGAACATACTTCAATTTCACCTGTGCATACAATCCCATTTCCTTCCATCCAAGTGACATTCATTTAACATTAATCTGAAGAAGGGACCTTTGCTTCTTGAAAGCTCATAACTTGAAAATCTTGTTGGCCTCTAAGGTGCTCACTGGACTCAAATCTAGCTGTTCCACGGCAGACCAACATGGCTACCTTCTGAAACTACTCTATATTTTGGATAACTATGCCCATAATATATTGTAATAACTACATAAGTATTGGGGGGTATGGCTGAAGTAACCGAACTATTTATCCATCTTTTCTTCAACTCTATGCACTATGCCACATGCTAAAAAATGTTTTTGTGGGCTCATGCACCAGAGTATGTATATCAAACCTTGCAATATTTTTAATATACCTTTAATTCCTGGGTTGTATTCTCAAAAGAATATAGCATTTTATATGGGGGTTGAAGCGGGCCACTGAGATTGACACTCAAAACCATCTGGTGTAGCTGATCCAAGTCACGGAGAAGGACCCCAGTACACTCATCATCACAAGCTGTAGGAAAGGACAATAAGAGATGTTTATTTCTGCTAAATATTTGTGGCAGATGCTTGGAATTTTTATGCAGAAATATTTTACAGTGTACATAAAATTCATCAAAATATAAAGCCACTAAACTCCAATAACTGGTGCCTTGAAAAAAATGGAGCAATAAAAAGGCAGGAAAAACAAAGCTTTGAGCAGCAGCTGGCAAATATGTGCATCTAATTGTTAACAACTTGGTAACAGGATAATACGGTACAAAGTATCACATATGTAGGACTCAAGCATGCATGGCATTTTAGAGTCAAGAAAATGTTTCAACAGTAAATGGAATGAGATGAATATACTAAAGAAGCCTTAACTTAAAGAGCCAGTTTGGTGCAGTGGTTAAGTGTGCGGACTCTAATCTGGGAGAGCTGGGTTTGATTCCCCACTCCTCCACTTGCACCTGCTGATGTGACCATGGGTCAGTCACAAGCTCTGGCACAGCTGTACCTGAAAGAGCAGTTTGTGTCAGAGTTCTCTCAGCCCCACCCACCTCACAGGGTGTCTGTTGTGGGGAGGGGAAGGGAAAGGACTTTGTAAGCCGCTCTGAGACTCCAAGTGAAGGGTGGGGTATAAATCCAATCTACTTCTCTTCTTCTTGTTGTAAATTTTCAAATGGAGAAATTTTGAATTAAAGCATTTCAATTCAAGAGGTCTCACAAGCCATCAAGAAACTAAAAAAGGATAAGGCACCAGGACCAGATGGATTTACTGCAGTTTACTACAAAATTTTTGAAGAGAAGATAATTTTACCTTTTAAAAAGTTATGAATGATAGAAGCGAAAAAAATACAATACCACCATCCTGGCAAGAAGCTTGTATAACATTACTGCATAAACAGAATAATGACCCAATCCTGCCAGTCATATAGACCTATTTCACTGCTGAATATGTACTACAAAATTTTTGCCTCATTCATGGCTGATAGATGCAGAGGTTCCCAAACTTATTTGGCCTACCGCCCCCTTTTCAGAAAAAAAATTACTCAGCACCTTCAAGAAGTGGACAAAAAGATGCAGTTTGTGGATCTACACTTATTAGGGTAATTACACAAGGAGAAACAATGATTTTATAACTTATGATGATATGATAAACTCACAAGGTGGCATCAAAATGTGGCAAGAGATTAAAGAAGGAGATACAATGGTGGATATACTTTCAAATTGCTTCTAGATTAAAAAATGATATCTGTACTAAGAGAGGGGTTATTAATGAAATGACTGATTTTGAAAAGATTGTCTCACAATCTAAAAAGATTGTCTCACAATCTAAAGACCATTCGCAGGGCTCTTTTTGTAGCAGGAACTCCTTTGCATATTAGGTGACACACCCCTAATGTAGCCAATCCTCCAAGGACTTACAGTAGTCCCTGTAAGAAGACCTCTGTAAGCTCTTAGAGGATTGGCTACATTAGGGGTGTGTCACCTAATAGGCAAAGGAGTTCCTGCTACAAAAAGAGCCCTGTTATTGCTTCAGTATGATTCTGAAGAACAATTCATATCCTGCATGATTAAATGGATGCAAAATTTCAGTGAGGAAATACAGTTTGAGTGTTGGGAAAATCTATGGACTAAAGGTATTAGATTCACTGCTAGCCAAGCATTAAGAGAAAACTGGTACAAGAGGAGTTTACCATCCGAATTTACTTGGATGCTGGGGATAATAGAGACAAGTGAAAGAAGGCAAGGGTAATCAGGATGGTTATGGTCAAATTCATGTATATGTTCTTAACCATCAACTTAATTTCACCTTATATACATAGCGCCATAAAATAAGCTGCATTCTCACCAGGCCAGACTCTGGTGGAGAAGAGGATTGCAGGGATCAGGTTCAATTTTCCCATTCAGTCTGCCAAGCAGCTAATTAGTGGAAATGCTGTTTAGTTTTAGGGCTATGCATCTGTAGCATGGATTGCTGGTTTCAGCTGCAGACCTGAAATTATTTGCACATGAAATTCTCAGTTCAGCTACAGAGGCGTGTGTGTTAGGGCTGCCAGATCTCCAGCTATACCAGAACTCCCAGCAGATCCCTTTGATCCCAGACATCACTTTGTAGGACACTGGGGGCAAAAATATGCTGAAAATTGCTGACAGAATGATGCTGTGATGCCACTTCTAGGGTGAATCCAGAAGTGACATCATTGTGGCAAGGTAATGCTCTAGGATTCTAAGACCACAGAGCTTCCAGTGAATCCTGCAGCATTGTGTTGATGCAGTAATGCCACTTTGGGGTTTAGTTTGGAAGTGACATCACACTATCACTTGCAGTGCTCCATGTCCCCACCCCCAAAGTCTTCTGCTGAATACTTTGGCAACCCTAATGTGTGTGTAAGTCTATGGCCTCACACAGCAAGTTATCACCCCAAGCTCCTTGGATGAAGGGCAGGATAAAAATATGATAGATCGTATGTGCACATTTCATCTCCTCCTGTACTATCTGGTAGTCAATCACATTCATTGGAAACTTTTCTCATAAAAAATCATGTTTGATACTGTTTCACCAAGAGTCTAAAGCTACAGTTTAACAACAGAAGTATAAACAACAGCAAAGCAAATCATTGGAGAGGAGGCAAATTGATTTAGTGCAGTGAGAAGGCAATTGTCAAGTTGAACAAGGAGGCATCGAAATGTTATTTTCAGTAGCATCCTTTCTCCACTAAATTCTTGTTGCCTTCCACTACCACTAATTTGTTGCTTGAACTGAAGTGCACTGTAATTGCTCTAGTAAAGGGGCAATATTTTCTACTTTATGCATGCATGTCAGAAAAACCTATTAGTGGCCCACGTCTTCTCATTTGTGTGTTTGTGTATGGAACACAAAGAGAAAGCACATTTCCATAAATAACATATGGGTTTTACAGTGAGCAGTGTGTTTTATATACCAACATCTATCCTATTTGGTGAACTAGTCATACAGATCTGTAAGGCAGACATTTTGAAACTGTAAATCAGATAAATAGCAGGATGCCATCTTCCTTTAAACAGCCAGAATCTTTAAAAAACACCCTAAAAAACCACCTAAGAGCAGCACACCAAGAGACTTCCCTGTTTAACAGTGACATACAGTGTTTTATTTAAACAAGTTATTTCTTGTTAACCTCAGTGTTTTTGGAAACAGTCGGCAATAGATATCACAAAATACGATGCAAATGAAAATCAACTTAATTCAGCATGATAGAATGATTTTAAATGATTTTAAATCAGTTATGAAGATACGAAAATATTCTGAACAAACAACCATTCTGTTATGTGTGTTGCAGACAATCAACATGAAAACACCTCATGATGTATAACTGGTTTGAAAAGAGGAGATGCGTCACGTTGAGCCTTCAGCTGAGCAAAAGAGCCAGGCTGCTCTGACTCTGGTAGTGCTCGGAGTGTACTGGGGCAACAGGAAACCGAGGAGGAGGATTCTACCATTTATACATGACTACATGTTGCCTTGGTTTCATCTACAAAAACATCAGTATAAATGTGTCTTCAGCATTATTGTTATGCTCAAATCATTACAGACGTGTGTACGCATGAAAAAGGGAAATCATGAGATATTTCACTGATGGGTTAGCAGAAAGCAAGGACCTCGATTTTCAACACAAATCTGCTTTGCATAATAAGTGCAGTCCAGGTCAAACCTACCTGAATGTGAAATGCCTCACAAGTCAGCATGCTTGTAAAAACAAAGTTGCTTTTATAAAACTGTACAAAAACAAAATTGTAAATACACTTCCTTTGTTAGTACCACTCTAGCAAACCATTTTCTGACTAAAGGTGTTCTCTCCTGTGTACTTTCAAAATAAATTCATTGCAGGCCTTGAAAATCTCCCAAATTAATGAGGGATGTTTTCAGGGATGGTAGAACTAATCACCTCTAAAAGGGATGATCAAGAAAAGAGCTGGGGAAGCGGGAACCAGTGGGCTAGCCTCCATATCAGCTGCCTGTCTTACAGCAGACTGCAACTGTCAGAAATAACAGTTCTGATCACCTTTAGCAATGCATTTGCTACGATGGTGGGAGTGGGACTGACTGGTAAAAAACTCATGTGAAAAGACACTACACAGTCCGTAAAAGACTGAGGAACTCAGTTGACCACTGTGTGAGACAGAATGCTGGACTAGACAGACCACTGTTCTGTTCTTAAGATAAACTGCATACCTGTGAGCAGGGGAGAGGGGATTTAACCCTTTCAACACCTCACTGATTTTATTAACTGAAAATTTGGTCACTGCTTTCTTATTCATGGTTCATTTATTTATTTAGAGCACCCACCTTTCTCCAAAATCATACTAAAAGCTGGTTAGAATGATATGAAAATCAACATGCAACTAAAACAGATATCAGCTTAACCAAAGAGCTACCAACCAAAATACCAACTGAAGAAGTGAGCAGTGACTCATGAAAGCGCATACCCCACCACAAATTTTGTTAGTCCTTAAGGTGCTACTGGACTCTTGCTCTTGTCTATTAGTACCAACTAGTTGCCAGCTACATAACAATTTGAAACAGAATTAGGTATCTCTTACAAAAGCTCTCCTGAATAATTCTGCTTTGCAAAACTCCTGACTCATTCAGGCAGGCTAGTCCATAGAGTAGGGGCTGATCTAACGGCTTAACAAGTAGCCGTTGCCTGAAGAGATAAATTGCTGCATGGGGTATACTGGAAGAGGTATGGCTCCCTGTAAGTATGGGAGCCATGAAGGCCTTTAGCTTCATGTATTGTGAGAAAGGGAGAAAAGAACTTCTTTCTTTAGAGCACTGTTAACATACCTTTCTCCAAATGGGTTCATGAGTTCAGTCCTCTCTCAGTTTCCAACAAGGTCCCAATCCCAATTGTACATGCAATTTACCTGACAGAGATCCATGATTTTCATCATATTTGTTCTGGCACCGACTTGTTATGTCTGTGCTTGGTTTAGTATTATCAAATTAAACAAATATGCTATGTCAATATAAGGTTGTTTGATTGATATCCCTGTGAATTTCCTTTTCTATCAATTAATCTACATATTAAATGAATTGATCAATCCTAAACAGGTTTACAAAACATTTGTGTATCACTTTGGTAAGTATAAACAGAAACAATAGGAAATTATTAATACACCGGGGAAAGGAAAAAAATGCAGTCAATTTTACAGAACCAGAATCCAAGCAATAATTTTTTAAAAAACTATTTTTTAAAAAGTGACAGCGAAGAAAACTGTCAACACTATCAATGATGTACTGGCTGTTACCTTAATATATATATATATTTAAGTCCTTGTTTATCACCCTCCTGTACACGTCATGTTTTCCAGGTCTGTGTGAAACAGCCTGATCAACAATTTCTCTTAGGGCTAGAGAAAAGATTTTCTGTGTAAAAATGAATCACAAAATAATGGAACTGTTCATTCAATATTAAGAAGGGCACATTAAAACTCAGTACATTCCAAATGATTTGTCAACATAGCTGAGAAAACTGCTGCAGAAACTGAAAATGAAAGGGTCATTTCTATGGCACTGCAGGGTTTCCAATCTATCTTTTTGCACATAGAGTGTACAATGAGTTGGTCCATATAGCTCAAAATAGTGACAGACCAGTACACCATGGGTATTAGAGGGCTGGTGATCATTCTCATAAAGATTCTGCAAAATAACAATTCACATTTGAAAACAAAAACAAACCACCAAAAATTCTAAAAGCAGTGTTAATATACGTACACACGCATGCTATGCCTTCACGAGCATGCCAGGGTTCACAGCCAGCACACTTCCATCCAGTAGATCCAGGTCTGCACATGCACTGTCCAGTGACAGGATCACAGGGAACAGGCAATGAACCATATGGATTACACTCACATTCTTGACAAGATCCACCTGGAATTCTTGGATTCCCCGTATAACCAGAGGAACACCTATAGGTTGAAAAATTGAAGTAAAATGTAAATTCAGTTTTAGAATCCCAGTGTAAATGTTTTTCTTTGAAGGAATGCCCGTAGAAACACAGATCCAGTTCACATACTTATCAGGACCCTCTATATGTATGTGGGGAAGCAGGACTGCTTTCACCCCACTCCCAAGTATACCATGAAACATTAGATGGGGGTTATGTCACCAGATGGTCAATGTAGAAATCAAATAAATTACATCATTGGAAGCAGAAGATGGAGAAGCTACATTCTCTCTCCTAAAAAAAGACCAGGAGCCGATTGTTGAACAGATCATTAGTCGTTAATATTGAAAATTAGAATACAGCTGAAGAAAAATACCAAAACAGTCATAGTGCCAAAATACAGTCTAAGAAAGATTCCAGAAGAGTTTAAAAACCACATAAACAAATGATTTGAATTACTAAGTTCAAGTGAATGTGAAACAGAAGAATTTGGGTTGAAACCAGAGATATTATCAAGGAAGAGTGTGCAAAGACTATTCCTGTAGCCAAAAGAAAAGTCTCAATGGATGACTGATGAAACACTTAAAATTACTAAAGATAGACTGGAAGCAAAAGTAAAAAGTGGGAATAAACCAGAATCAAAAGCCTAAATGCAGCATTCCAGTGACTCACAAACAGAGACAAAGAAAACTATTATAATTATCAGGGTAAAGAAATAGAAGAGAGCAACAAAAAAGGAAGAACAACAGATCTGTTCCACAAGATCCAAGAAATCAAAGAGAAATTTAAATCATGGTTAGGCATGCTGAAAGATCAACATGGAAATATATTAACAGAACAGCATAGAATAAAGAAAAGATGGGAACAATATACTGGAGAACTCTACAAAAGAAACAAAAGGATGACAGATTCCTTCCCAGACTTTTGAAGAACCTACAGTTTTAGAAAGTGAAGTGAGAGCTGCACTAAAAGCAATTGGAAGAAACAAATTATCAGGAGTGGATGGGATATCAATAAAGCTATTCCAGGCCACAGAAATCAAGTCCATCAAAATTTTAACAAGATTGTGCCAACAAATAGAGAAAACAAAACAATGGCCCTCAGACTGGAAATGTTCAATTTACATCCCAATTCCAAAAAAAAGGAGATGTCAAAGACTAGGGATGGGCATGAACCGGCTCACAAACAAAATTTCATGATGAATTTTCGCCAGTTCATAGTCTACAAAGTGAAGTTGGTGGCAGGTCAACATGCATGAACTTACCATGAACTTTTAAGCAGTTTGTGGAGGTTTGTTGCGGTTCAGTAATGGATACATTTCCAGACGGACTATCTCAGCTCAATATGAATGTTCACCAAACTTCAAAGCAGTGGGGGGTGAAACTTGGAAGGCACATAAAAGAGCATCTGGGGGAGATCCCCTGTGACTTTGATGTCTCTAGCTTGCACAGGATCTGTTCTATGTACTCCTGAATCTGCACCTGTCATTTCCCCAGAAAGGACTTTCCTGGGTGGCACCAAACTTGGAAGACAGGTAGAGGAGAGTCAGCAGGAGATCCCCTGCAAGTCTGGTGCCACAAACCTCAGAAACTGAACCAGTTCATTTGGCTCCTAAAAGTTTGTGACAGTTTGTGGTTTGCAAACCGGGCATGCCATGAACTGACCCACATTTTCCCTGTTCATGCCCATCCCTATCAAAGACTGCAGCAACTATCAGATCATTGCATTAATTTCTCACATAAGTAAAATGATGCTCAAAATCTTACAACAAAGACTGTTACCATATATGGAGCAAGAAATGCCAGATGTTCAAGCTGGATTCAGAAAAGAAAGAGATCATATTGCACTAGAGATCATATTGCAAATTTGCATTGGTTACTGGAGCATACAAGAGCATTTCAGAAGAAAATCAGCTTGTGTTTCATAGATTACAGCAAAATCTTTGACTGTGTGGATTATGAAAAGCTATGGTTGGCTTTAAAGGAAATGGGTGTACCACAGCATTTGATTGCTTTGATGCACGCTCTATACTCAGGACAACAGGCCACTGTTAGGATAGAATATAGAGAAACAGAATGGTTTCAAGTTGGCAAGAGTGTCAGACAAGAATGCATTTTATCTCCCTATGCAGAACACATCATAAGGAAAACTGGATTAGATTTAGATGAAGGTGGAGTAGAAATTGGTGGAAGGAACATTACCAATTTGAGATATGCATATGACACCACATTATTAGCAGAAAACAGTGAAAACTTGAAAAGACTACTGATGAAGGTTAAAGCAGAATGGGCCAAAGCAGGATTACAGCTGAAAGTCAAAAAGACAAATGTAATGACTACTGGGGAATTACACAACTTTAAGGATGACGATGAAGAAACTAAAATTGTTCAAGATTTTCCATTCCTTGGGTTCTTCACTAACCAAAAGGGAGACTGAACCCAGGAAGTTGGAATGAGACTGAAATCAGGGAGGGCAGCCATTAAGGAACTAGAAAAGATCCTTAAGTGTAAGGATGTGTCACCAGCAACCAAGATCAAGTTCATTCATTCCATAGTATTCCCCATTACTATATATGGGTGTGAAAGATGTACAGTGAAGAAAGCTGACAAGAAGAACGTAGATTCCTTTGAAATGTGGTGATGGAGGAGAGTTTTACTGATATTGTGGACCACCAAAAAGACAAGTAGGGGTGCGGTCACATGCGCCAGATAAAATGGGGAGGGAGCGAGGCTATTTCCTCCAGAGGAATTTGACCCGCAGTTGCATGATCACACCTCCCTTTGAAGCTGCGGGTGCAGCCTGTCAGTGTGTGATCAGATGCAACTGCGGGTGAGTCATTTTCTTTTTTGTGCCATTTGTTTCCTATGCACTTAAATGAGGAATCGATGAACTGCACCTCTGCACTGAATGCAGTTTGTGATGATGCACATACTGCAAAGGGGGGGGGGACAACGGCACAGAGTCGGGATGGCCTAATCAGACCATCCCGATGGCATGAGAGTATGCTGGAGCCATCAGACAGGGGAAAGCCTGTCCATGGTCTGTTGCAACCCATTTACTATCAGATTTACCCCGGTGTCTTTGCTTCTGTGGCGGAGCAGAATGGGTTGTCAATGGCTGCAGGGCGCTTCCCAGATGTTGTTGTCTGATTGCGCCCTTTAAATCTGCCCAGCATTCATGCCTATGTCGGGTCTAATTGTGCATATGATTGCAGCCTAAGTGGGTCCTAGACCAAATCAAGTCTGAACTCTCCCTAGAAGCTAAAATGGCTAAACTGAGGCTATCATACTTTGGTCACATTGTGAGAAGACAAGAGTCACTGACAGACAATAACACTAAGTAAAGTTGATGGCCGCAGGAAAAGAGGAAGAACCAACATGAGATGAATTGACTCAATAAAAGAAGCCACAACCCTCAATTTGCAAAACCTGAACATGGCTGTTAACGACACAACATTTTTGGAGAACGTTAACTCATAGTGTCACTGCAAGTTGGAAGCAACTTGATGGCACTTAACAAACAAATACACATGCTCATACATTAATTGAACTAACTGCAGAAAGTGTATCGTGCACATGACACATGGGGTAAGGATCCATCCTTCTCAACAGAAGCACAGAGAGAAGCCAAACTAGTACGTATGGGAACCAGCCAGTATAATTCTAAGACACATAATGGATTATGTTGTCAAATCTCATGATTTTATTACCATCCCAAAATATTTTATATCTAAGAGGCATCTGCTCTGCTTCTCTGAGAATCCCCCAAGGAAGAAGATACCCTAACCTTCTGAGACAGCTTATTATAATACTGAAGTATTCTAATCGTTAAAAATTTCTTCCTAATGTTTTATCTAAATCTACTCTCTCATTTAAAGCCGTGGAATCTTCTCTGACATGCCCTTACATGGCTGAAGACTGTCAGACTAAACCTCCCTTAATCTATTCCCTAAATTCAATATGCCTTTTAGGATTTGTCTGCTAGATCTTCACCATACTCTGTCCTTTCCAGTTCTTTAGCATCCTGCATGCTGGTGCTTATCAGCATCATTACTGCTTGAACATTAGTACTCTAGGTGTGGAATTAGAATGTAACCATTTTGTAATTTAGAGTTCAGTGTATGGAAGTGGGGAGTGCATCTCTCTTTGTGCTTTTATAATTGTATACATAGAAGAGTTCGTAGGTCTGGTATAGTACATAATTCTTCCCTACCCCATTTACTGGCCTGTTCATTGTTTTTTGTTTGTTTTTTAAGGCAGAAGGGAGAAATGCCTCTTGCCTTAAAAACAAGTCCATCTCACCACCTAGTGGTGCATAACGCTAAAGAGCTAGAATTTCTGGCTGCCAGACAATCTTAGAATCTCCTGGCTATCCTACACACACTATATGCATGTACAGTTCTGGTCACCACACCTCATAAAGGATATTATAGCATTGGAAAAAGCGTAGAAAAGGGCAACTAGAATGATAAAAGGGTTGGGACACTTTCTCTATGAAGAAAGGTTAAAATGCTTGGGGCTCTTTAGCTTGGAGAAACGATGGCTGAGGGGGGACATGATCGAGATTTATAAGATTATGCATGGGATAGAGCAGGTAGAGAAAGAAGTACTTTTCTCCCTTTCTCACAATACAAGAACTCGTGGGCTGAGCGGTCAGGTTAGAACGGATAAAAGGAAGTACTTCTTCACCCAAAGAGTGATTAACACATGGAATTCAATGCCACAGGAGGTGGCGGCGGCTACAAGCATGGACGGCTTCAAAAGGGAATTAGATAAATATATGGAGCAGAGGTCCATCAGTGGCTATTAGCCACAAGGTATGGATAGGGACTCTGGGGCAGGTGATGCTCAGTATTCTTGGTGCTTGGGGGAGTCAACAATTGGGAGGGTTTCTAGTGTCCTGGCCCCACTGGTGGACCTCCTGATGGCACCTGGTATTTTTGGCCACTGTGTGACAGAGTGTTGGACTGGATGGGCCTTTGGCCTGATCCAACATTGGCTTCTCTTATGTTCTTACATGATCGATGTTTATAAGATTATGCATGGGATAGAGCAGGTAGAGAAAGTACTTTTCTCCCTTTCTCACAATACAAGGTGGAAACTCAATGAAATTGCTGAACAGTTGGGTTAGAACACATAAAAGGAAGTACTTCTTCACCCAAAGAGTGATTAACACATGGAATTCACTGCCACAGGAGGTGGTGGCAGCTACAAGCACAGACGGCTTCAAGAGAGAATTAGATAAACATATGGAGCAGAGGTCCCTCAGTGGCTGTTAGCTACAAGGTATAGATAGGAACTCTCAGTCTGGGGCAAGTGATGCACTGTATTCTTTGTGCTTGGGGTACAGGCAACAGTGAGAGGGCTTCTAGTCTCCTGACCCCACTGCTGGACCTCCTGTTGGCACCTGGTATTTTTGGCCACTGTGTGATAGAGTGTGGCCTGATCCAACATTGGCTTCTCTTATGTTCTTATATGATAACTGTTATTATTTGGATAGTTCTTTCCAGTTTTATATTCTTGTGCAGGATTGTAGTTTGAGGCTGGAATCTCAGTACCAATATATCAACATGGCTAAATCTATAGATTGTTAAATCTCAAAATCAGAGCCACAGACAGACAAGACGGATCTTTCTACAAACCTAAGAAAAGCCACAGGTCTGCAGAAAAAATATGAAATCTAATATTAAACAAACAAACAAAACCCCGAATGGGGGCTATAAACCCTAAAATAAACAGAAACAGCACTTGTAGCTTTAAGAAACAAATGCCCTTAGTGGCTGTTAGTAGGCAACCAGCCTTCAAGTCTTGGTTTCTGTGAACAAATGGCAGGGGGAAGGGAAGGACCCTTTCCAGTGATGTTTTGGCCTTTGAAGGAGGATTCATTGGGGCCAGACTCAGCAGCACCCACCGGGCAACCTGCTACCATGCAACTTGTATGACTCACCCAGGCCTGGCTGCTTATTACTGTTTAACAGCAATCATACCATGAAAACCGATGTGGTTTAGTGGTTAGAATTTCAGACTCGGATCTGGAAGACTCCAGTTGAATCCCCACTCTTCCATGGAAGCTTACTGGGTGATCTTGGACCAGTTACACATTCTCAGCCTAACTAAGCTCATACGGCTTTTGAAAGGATAAAGCGGAGAAGAAGAGAATTATGTAAGCTGCTTTGGGTCCCCATTGTCAAAAAAGTGGGGAATAAATATACTAAATAAATCATAAATATAGCTGAAGATGGGAGGCAGATAAAAAGTAGGTTGGTTGTTGGGTGGGCAGGAGATAAGGAAGCACTGAAGGGTGATAATGTGGATGCTGCCATGAAGAGGGAAACAGAAAATTGTGTGGGAAGGGTACAGACACCTTGATTAAACAGTTTTGTGAATAATATGATTACAGATGGAATATAGATAATCATGGCTTTGTAAAAGGAATGCTCTGAAATCTTATTCCATAGTGTAAACTTGCTATCATGCATTTTAACCTGAAGCCTTCATAATAGCTTTGTCATCTGAAATTTCAACCATGTACTACATCATATGTAAACAAAGAATGTCAAACAAAAATGTGAAGAGGTCAGACAAGATAAACTTGTTGTGAACTGATGGTGTGCATCCACTGATTCTTTGCACAGCAATAATTTACATAAATAAGTCCCTTTCTGATCAGCAGTACATTAAAATGTTTTATTCTTGTTTTTTCTCTATTTTTTGTATTCAGTCTTATAATACCTTTCCTTACCTTTCACAGTACTGTCCTTCATATCCGACTGGACAAGCAGTACATCGGTAATCATTGACTCCTTCTAAGACACATGAGGGACTAAAACTAAAAAAAATTACAATATAATGTTATTTTCTTTTCATTTCACATATATTTCACATCAGTAAGAAGGAAAGAATTCCTAGTGTCTTGACATCCGGTGTTAATAATGTTACTTATGTCACAACCCATCATCACATCGGAGGTAATGCTCTAACATTTGCCCAAAACTCTATGGTTGAACCACAGAGTTTTGGACAAATATTATAATGGCACCTAGTGGGGTGACATTACTTCTGGGTCACAATGGAAGGAATATAATGTTCTCCCCTCCCTTTTGCCCAGAAATTTCTTCCCACTGTTCAGTTGAGCAGTAGCAGATAAAGAGAGCAGGAGATTTCCCACTGCTAGTGGGAAGCTGGCAACCCTACATAGGATGCTGTTGGTTGATGTTTTAGATATGGCACAGGATGTCACTGCAGGCAGATGCAAGGGAGGGCATGAAAATATGTAAAATCAAGTCATGGTCACTTCTAGGTTTGGGAAGTATGATAGGCAGAAAGTGCACAGGGCTCTTACCTACCACCACTGTTCCCTCTAAGCTATGTTAGTGTGAGCTAGCTCACAGTTTTTTAGCCTCCAGCTCACACATTTTTGTCTCCGCTCAGGAAGGATGGCTCCAGAGCAAACTAATTTATGCAGTAGCCAAATTGCTCGCTCACAACTTTAATGTCAGTAGCTCACAAAGTAGAATTTTTGCTCACAAGACTCCACAGCTTAGAGGGAGCATTGCCTACCACCAACTCCCTGCTTGCACCTCACTGTCCACCACCCACCTGACTGTCTCCATCTGCCCGTGCATCCTTGCTCATAAGCCTTCCCACTGCCTGCATCCACAACTGCCCACACTACCTGCATGATCTTTCCCTGCTGGAACTGGTGCATGCAGCTGGGAGGGTTGCTGCCATGACTGCTAAGAGCACTGCTGCCATGCACTACCTGCATGCTCTTCCTCAACAGCACAGTATATTTAGCTAGCAGCATGGGTAGTGGAGTGCTCACGAATAGGTGGGAGAAGGATGTGTAGCAGGAGAGGAGCGTGGATTGGGGGGGTTGTTGGTGGTGGCGTCTACCAGAAGCCCTAGACCTATCTCAGGACATGCTGATGTCAACCCTGAGTCAAGTCTTTCGTAACAAACATGTTAATTTGAAAAAATTCTCATATCTTTGGGAAAATGACACACGATCCACTTGCTAACAAGCACCATCATTAGAAATCTTCAGGAGGCACTGAAAAGTCATTTTATTTTCCAGAGCTTTTAATGGGGTCTAAACTGCAGGCATCCTTCTGGAAGAGCAGGGTATAAGGGGTTTTGCACATCCCCAAAGTTGCTTTAAGCCATTTCCCCTTGACTATCAGCCTGACCTTCAGTGCAACACTGCAGCTATACTGTGTTTCAACGCAGTTTTCAATTTAGAAAAAACAAGCTTGAACTCTGAAGGAAAAAAAAGAGGCTGAAAAGCTCCATGGGGCACAAAGAACTGGTTGTGTGGTTCTCTGAAACACGGCTGGTGCACTCAATGCGTTTGGGAGTGTAGGTAAAGAGGAAGAGAAGGTATACAATCTAAGCCAGATGGAGGCAACCACCTTTACCTTTCAAACTATTTGCAAAACAAGTGCTGATTCAGATTAATGCTGAAAAAGCACCATGGCAGTCGTAGCCCAGCACAAAAACTTCCCCTTTGCCACAGTGCAGTCAGCAGCCTCCTCTAACTTGCTTATAATGCATTAAATCAATATTGCTTGAATGAGTAATAAAATTCCACCTTTGGAAAAAAATGTATACAAATTGATCTACTACTCACAAACTCATTATCCAACACATTTCAACTAAGTAAAAACTGACCCACAAAGCAAGTCACATTCTCCAGCGTTGTTGTTTCTTTTCAGCTCATCACATTTACAAGTGAGTGCTGAATGTATAGAAACAGCCAAGGCATATTAAAAATTTAAACACTTAAAACTGTTACTGATGTGTAGGATTGTGGCTATCATTTTTGTTGGAAAAGTACAAAAACTACACCCAGGACATTGTGTTTTCATTGTTCCATGGAAATCTACATGTGTTCAACAATCTGCAACTTAATGGGCCAAGTACTTAAATTTAAACTGATATAGATGCACTGAAGCATCACACTGTGTGGCAGTTCACTGGTGAAATCCAGCTTCCACCTCTGATATTGTTAATAAGCAAAAGACCCAATGATGAGCAAAATGAAAAAGCAGCAGAGGCATCAGGGCTATTACTCAACTTAGCTGCTGAGTAGGGGTGTGCGTTCGGCTAAATCTGAGCAATTCCCCCCCCCCAAAAAATACCTTATCAATATTTTCTGGATATTCTTTCAGCCAGATAGAGATTTGGCCATTTTTTTGGCTATCCGAAATGGACGGTCCCTGAAAATCCTGAAAATATTCGGGATTTTTTGGGACCACCAAATAGCTGAAGTTAAAGGGCTTTGGAGAAGGCATTTAAAGGGATTGTGAGCCCTTGAAACACCTTCTCCAAGGGGTGAATTCACCTGGAAGGCATTCAAAGGGACTGCAGTCCCTTTGAATGCCTTCCAGGTGAATTCACCCCTTGGAGAAGGTGTTTCAAGGGCTCACAATCCCTTTAAATGCCTTTGGAGTTGCATTGCTCACACAGCTTGGAGAACATATTTGAAGGGACCATGGTCCCTTTAAATAACTTTTTCCTTCTGCTGGTTTCAATGGAGGATGGGGGCACCTTTTTTTGGGGCCCATAGAATTGGACTCTGTAGTCCAATCTTTTTGAAACTTGGGGGGGGGGTTTGAGAGAGGCACCAGAAGCTATACTGCAAGTTTGGTGCCTCTACCTCAAAAAATATCCCCCCAGAGCCCCAGATACCCCCAGATCAATTCTCCATTATACCCTATGGGAACTATTGACTATAATGGTCCCCATAGAATACAATGGAGTGAAAAAATATCGAAAATCCAAAATATTTACTGAATTCAAATACCATACCAGTATTGGGACTTGGGAATATTGGAAAATTCAAATATATTTTTTGGGGTTCAATATACCTGAACCTAAAAAATACAATTTTTGCACACCCCTACTGTTGAATGGATAGCAACACTCAGCATGGGCGAGTGATGTTGTTGTCTGTGCTGCTGTCAGGTGCTGCTATCAACTATACAAGTCCATGATACTGAGGAAGCAACCTTAGTACCTCCATATTTATGACCTACAGTAAGGGCACCAGTTCTATTTCATATTCATTTGTGCTCTGCTGTAGAACCTGGGCCACCAGTTAACCATTATATAAGCAGCTACTGACCAATAAATTGTACAAGTACTTAACTGGTTTAAATCCAAGCAACTCCATGACAATTAAGATGTATGGAACTGTGACCTAACAGCCTGATCTACAGAATCCTTCTCTCATTTCAGGGAAACAGGCAGAAGGAAACTAAGTTGTTTCTATATCAGGAAGCTGATCTTTCACCTTTATTTGGAAGTGATGAAAAGATTGCATATTGTCACCTGAGTCTGGCAGTTTGTTGTAAGCACAAGAGTTTCTACCAATGACAATAGATATCTGTGGATATAGAAGTGCCTTTTTGCACTGAGGCATATGAGTTAATCTTATACTTCTAGCGAAGAAATGCTCACAGGGATACAGTTTAAATTGTATCATCATAGTAATACAGCATTTTCAGAAAAAGCAGTGAGATACTTCTTGCTATTAAGAAGTGAGGCCAAAATGGCATTAGTCTTTTAAACAATTAGTCCAATGCAGGGTAAAAAAAAAGACAGAAAATTAGCAAAAAAGAAAACAGAAATAAAATGGAGACCCTTAGCATCAAATTAATATGTTAAGTCACAGAAGAAGAAGAATGGCATGGGAAAGGTCATTAGCATAGCACACCAAACAAAATGGATTCAGTAGGATAGCCTCTCTTTTAAATTATTTGATTGTTCACAAGTTGCCCCAAACCAACAAAACATTAAATAAGAATTCGATAAATTACAAAGCTCATAGCAAGGCTCTGTATTGCTTTTATAGCAGCACAAAATATGAACATAAGTCTCTCTATTGCTCCCTTGTGACTATACTGAACTTGAGTGCTCTGTTCCAGCTTCACTTGTGAGAATAATTTTTATAATGCTCATTCATTATCCATTTACTATTACATTTTCCACCCTTTATGAATTTCCACATTGCTAATTAGCCTGGAAGCAATTTCTGTAAAAAAACACCCCCAATTTAGCAGGGTAGTTTGGTCACTATTTAGTACATATCCATATTCCAAAGCTCCCGGTGACCCGGCAACGGCGCTGGTTGCCAGGGGCTGATTTGCCGCTCCGAGGAAGACAGGCAGGCAGGGGGCAGAGCTGGCCTGAATAAATGGCTGGGCTCCGCTCCTGCCCTTTGGCAGTTGCTCCGATGTGCTCGGGTGAATGGAGCACAAAGATCATGCTGCTATTGGGGCTTTTGGTCTAAAACATTGGCAGCAGCAGCGTCTTCAAGGGTAGTGGGGGCTCAATGGCGATAGCGGCTGCGGAGCTGCGGATGTGGAGTGGCCGGTGCTCGGCGGACGCACGCGGGGAGAGCTGGGCAGGCTTTTTGGAGCCTGTGAAAGGTAGCAGTGGCTTGTTCTCATGGCGCCGGTTGGATTGGTGGCTGTAGGGGCGGCAAATGAAGCAGGGCACTGGCATAGATCTCTGTGGTGGCGGCAAGACACACATGGCGACAGCAGTTGGGCCCATTCTGCCACGGTCTGTAGGGACATTAGAGAGGGGACAGCGTGGTAAGGCTGTCTCATCCCCGGTATTTTATTAGCCCTATCTTCTGGCCTATTTAAAATACTTTACAAATATAAAATAAATAAATAAATCCCCCCCCCCAATCACCAGCAGCCACATTGGGCTGGCCTGCTAGGAGTCTATGTTCCGACTTGAAGGCCAGGTGAGTGGCAGCCATTTTATGGCAGGTGGAAGCGACTGCCATCTTAGGGCTATCTGGGGTATCAGCCTTTTTGGGCCCTTCCCTTTGGTGGCCATCTTATTAGTAGTGGGAAGGAACAACTTTGTAAAACCAGAAATGGCTCTTCCGTGAATAGAAGGAGGTCTAGGATGCAAACCCATTATCTTTTCAATTAAGTTAAAGCTAGTTGTTACTTAAAGGATGAATTAACTGTTTATACTGCTGTTCAGCAGCAGACAGCCGTATATCTACCAATAACATCTAGTTCCAGCTTAAGGTCTACTTCAGACACTACTTTAGGCTGCATGAGTTCAACTCAGTTCCAACCACCTCTGTACAAATAGGTGCAATTGCTGTGGTGGTGGCTTCTGGGCCTCCTGCAGCCATGAGTTTTGATTAGGTGACCCTGGGTCAGTCAAGTTCTCTCAGAGCTGTTCTCTTAAGGACGGTTCTGGAGAGAGCTCTCTTGGCACTGCCTGCCCCGCAGGGTGTCTGCTGTGGGGAGGGGAAGGGTGTTTGTGGGCCACTTTGAGCCTCTAAGTGGGGGACAGGGTATAAATCCAATCCCTTCCTTCCTTCCTCCATCCACGGTTGCTGGCATAGTTTGAAGGTAGGATTTCTTAGAGAACTAATCTCTGTAATACCTGACTTGGGGAATTTTGGGGAGGGGATGTGTCTCAGTGAGAGATCATTTGCTTGGCGTCCAGAGGGTCCCAGGTTCAATTCCCAGCATCTTTAGTTACTGGATTTGGTAGTGGGTTGCATGGAAGATCTTGCCTGGGACCTGGTGAGCATTTGCCAGTTTGAGTAGGCAGTACTCATTTTAGCAAGCTTGACAGCGTACAGTGCTAACAAGAGGGCTATTCCTTATAAGAACAAAAATTGATTCCCTATTGATTTCTGTTCAGATTGACATTTTACAGGGTTTTATTCAGACAAGGTAAATTGCCAATCTTCAGATCATACTATTTGGCCCTCATGCGAGGGGATGTATTTCCATTGTAGTAGTTAAGAGCAGTGGACTCTAATCTGGGGAACCAGGTGATTCCCTGTTCTTCCGCATGAAGCCGGTTGGGTGACCTTGGGTCAGTCACAATTCTCTTGGAGCTGTTCTCTCAACAGCGATTCTCTCAGAGCTATTTCAGCCACATCTACCTCAAGGGGTCTTTGTGGGGAGAGGAAGGGAAGGGGATTGTAAGCCATTCTGAGTGAAGGGCGGGGTATAAATCCAGTCTCTTCTTTTTCTTCTGTAGAACACTATAGAAACCTTTAATGCTGTCTAACTAAACTATGAATAGACACTGAATTTGAGGTGAGGGAGTACTGCCAAGGGGGAACGGCTACCTGAAACTGGGTAGCTCAACTGGGTACTCAGTGTGTGGAGGCGAAATCAAGTGTAATCTGAATGGGAACCAACTGAACCTCTAGTGGTTTCCTTCTGGAAAGAATCCTTATCAGCAACATGTGACCTTGACAGTGTGAATGCACGCTGAGTGGGCAAATTGGGTTGGTCTTTGTCCTGTGTCTCTGCCAGGGATGCAAGGGAAAGAACAAAGGAAATGAAACCAGCATAATATCCATTGCAATATGTCATTGGTACCTTATGTTTTTCTGTTTTAGCAGGGAGACGGTATGACTTCAAATCTGATGCTGTGATCTGAGAATCTGGCAGCTGGCACGTCGTTACATGTCATTGGTTTGGGCCTAATGAGCATTCTTCACAGGTTTAATAGTGAATTGTCTTAAAGGGAAGTCCTATGAGTTGTTAGGGCCTAGATGAGTAGCATTGGTTACGACAGGCTGTGGGAGGTGCCGGCTGGGATGCGGCAGTGCAGCCATGGCAATAGTGAATGAGACAGATGGCTTCTTGGGAGGTTCCAGGGGGGAAGGGGTTAAGCAGGACCCACCAGAGGATCAGCATGGCTTGGGAGGCCAGACAGCTGTTCTGCCCACGCATGTGGGAGGAATGAAACTACTTTTAGACCTGGCAGCCCAGCCTTACTTACATATAGGTAAATGGGTGCCACTGGAGCCATCTTCATGTTATGGAGAGTGTGCATGCAGCCTGCACGCATGTGCATACATTGGATGGTAGGAAGGAGCCAATGCACATTTCTTTGTGCTTGTCCTGGTCTTTAGGATAGGAACCATGTTTCTATTAGGAAATGAGAGGTACTGTGCACTCTTCAGGGTAAGGTTTTTAGATAAAATAAATAAGATACCAAGCATGCAAACAAAATTAAATTATACAGGTTACAGTGACACCACATTGTAAATTCGCAATATTACATTTTTAAACCGAGGTCACCGATTGGCTATGCTAGTTCTTAGTGGTTATTAAAGAAGCATTTTCATATAACTAGAAGCATTTCAAAAAGCCTTATTGGGCCGGTCCCTTGACTTTTTTAAACAATGGATGCCTTCCTGTTCAGGTCTGTTTGCAATCATTGGAAGTTCTTTAAGAATGCCAGGACACTAAGAGAACTGATCCAGATCTCATCTAGTGCTGTTTCCTCAGTTTGGCAATCTAGGGAATCAGGGACTAGATCAGAGACGCTCTCTTCCGTTTCCGATTTGGACTTAGCCAGAGACAAAGCCAGGCCTCAGTTTTCTATCTTTCAGGGTGTAGGGTTGCCGCTTCCTTGCAGCTGCCCTGGGCTATGGGTTCCCTTGCCATTGGTAGTGTCAGTGGGACCTTGTTCAGATCAGGACTTTTTCCGGTTACTGCACTCCAGTTTGGGGATGGCGATGTGGATCAGTGAGCTAGTGGCGGGCTTTCACCTAGCGTTTGAAAATGGAATTGCAAATTTTAAAGTTATTAATGAGGTTTTGCTTTCAGGTACTGGTGGCTGTGGGGCAAGACGAAGAGTCAATGTCTGCGGCCACAGCCTGGTCTTTTCGGCCACCCACCGGGCTGAGCTGAGATGGCCCAGAGTGTGGACAGTCTGGCTGGCAAGGCCCTTGGGTGACGCTGAGGCTGTCCTTGCGATGATAAGAGCAAGGTGGCCTGGAGTGCAGATAGTCTGGTCAGCTATTCTGCTTCGCCATGAATGACAGAGACATGATGTTTCAAGTGGAGACTGACCTTGCGATGATAAGAGCAAGGTGGCCTGGAGTGCAGATAGTCTGGTCAGCTATTCTGCTTCACCGTGAACAACAAAGACAAGATTAGGGCTTGGGCTTTTGGTGGGGAGCAAAGACCAAAGCAGAGGCTTGGTCTTGGCTGTGGCAGGTTGATGCAGGCAAGAAACCGGAACCGGTGAGCACCTTACGGCATTTTCCCCATTGGGGAACAGGGGGTCTTCAGGAACTGCCTTCGGATTTCTAAGGTCCAGGGTGGGGAACGGTGATCACCTCCTCTGGGAACCTCTTAGGGTAAGGCTCCTCTCTGCAAGTTGGAAGGCTTCAGGGGTAGGCACTCCTAGGTGGCGACCAGTTTGCTGGGCTGCCGGTCATGAGCCAGCCCGATGGCTCAAGACCAGAGCTGGGTGACCTGCCCAAGAAAAGGGCAAGGAGGTTGGTCAGGGGAGTGACACCTGCCTTGCCTGTTCCGTGTTCGCTTAGCTGGTCCCTTGCTGCAATCTTATGTTAAATAGTTAATAAAGTGGCCCTTGTTTACTTCCAAACTGTTGTCTGTCTCATTATTCTGCCTGGGAGGGCAATGTACTTTTTCATCATTGACAGCTGACCCAAGTAGACGGTGAGTGAGATCTAGATCAAAGCAAAAGGGGAATCTGTAATATATGCTTACTTGTTGCTGGAAATAGATAAAGGACATGCACAAGGCCGGCAGTCATCAGGAGTGCCTCTAACAGCCCCGTAGAACCCAACAGCACACCTTTCACAGTGGTCACCGCTGGTGTTACGAAGGCAGTTCTGTGAAGCAGAGAAGAAAGAGCTTTCTGGGGCAGCTACAAAGAACTCCAACATTCTTAGCTCTTTAAAAAGATGTGATGGGCACAAAAATCTGTCACTCTATTTCACTGGTAATTCTGTAATATGGACTTTCTGCTGGAAACCCAGTTGCCTCGCTGGAGCAATCATGAAGTCATCTTGTGCAACACATGGTGCAAGACATTTCAGCAAACCACCTTCTTTGATCAAATCATACTGCAAAGTGGAGTGCTATGACTGCATTACATAGCCTTTTCTATAAATCAACACTGATCAGAAATGAGAGGAAAAAAATCAGTGCTTGAACTTAAAGCAGCTCTTGCGCAAAGTGCATTGAGTAAAAGCCTTCTTCTGTTATCACATGGACAGATCCAACCGCTAGATCTTTCCAGTTTATATTTTAAAGTGTTTACCATTGCATCATTGCAATGCATCATTGCATGTGCAGCAAACATGTTTACTGTGGAAAGTGTGTACTGAGTCAGAATACTAAAAGGAATTTAAATCTTTTGTATATAATGGCTGCTACTTTGTTATGGTGCAAATAAACTTTCTGCTCATCCAAAGTAAGAAGAACATGGCCAATACTTTGGGGAAATCTTCGTACCTGACATACGGAGGTTTCAGGATCACACATGTCACTATGCCCATGACACTGACATGGCACACAGGCTCCCAAAGCAGGACCTGGTCTTCTGCCAGCTGAAGTGGAAGCGAGTCTGTAAAAACCTGGGGAGCATGCCTGCAAGAAAATATGTTTACAAATCCATTATATTGTGTGCTCAGTAAGGAGGGATTCAGGAGGACTGCAAACACATCCTGGCTAAGGTTGACAACCTGCCCTCCCCATCTCGAAAGGCAGGCCTCAAGCTGTTTCACAAACAATGCACAGTATACTTCAGAAATAACAGTACCACTTCTAATTGAAAACTCTGCTGCCATATCCCTGGAGGTAGCTGAAGAGCACCAAGCTTTTCATATTCCAGCCTGAGAAGACTTTCATTTAGATCCTCCCTCCTTGTACATCATGCCTCCCTGCCTCTATTTCCTAAGAAAAATGTTTTTCTGGGGGGGGGGGGGAATTGTTCCATTGGCTCTGCAAAGTGAGCAGGAGCACTCTGTTTTCCCATTGTCCTCAGTGCGTTTTTCAGAGATGACAAGCTAATATCTGCCTACACACTGCCTGATAGATAACAGGCTAATACCTAGTGATACTCAGCAAAATATGTCTTCATGGGTACATTATTTATACTTGTATAATGTAAGGACCATAAAAATAAGGAATTCAAAATAATAAAAATGCTACTATGTCCTGAGACCATTAGGCCTTGGAATAAAATTAATCCAGCACTCGTACAGTTCCCCCCCCCCCAGCCAACAATAAAAATTGGTAAGCACACTGAAAATTACTATCAAAGCTGACAGATGCAAAAAAGAGAGCAATTCTACATCTTCTCATCCTCCTACCCCTTTCCTTCCCATTCCTTCCTAATAGTATGCCTGGAGGCAAAGCCTCTCTTATCTTTTAATAATTCTACTGTACTAAGAAGTTTTAGGCATTGTATAAGTAAAAACAACAATAACAAAATCATTGCAACAGAAGGGTCCTAATCTTTTAGATTACCCAATAAAATATTTCAGTGGTCTTCCCAAATCCCCACTATTCCAAAACAGTAGAGATTTCTTTGGAATACTGGTGGGTGAACTCCCTTTGGCTTAATTCAAAACACTGCAATTCCATTAAAAAAAACAGGGGGGGGGACTTCTCCTAAACACAGTTCTGAAATGCGAACTTTGCAGTGTGCTTCACCATGATGTTATCAGGAGCACTAAAAGGTCCAAAGACCCTCTTAAAATAAGTTTGACCTCTGTTCCACTGCTATCATCCCTTACCCTATAATGAACCTGCTCATAGCAACAGTAGTAGGGAGGTCATGTTAAGGGCCTGTCAGATTTTTCACTCCCTTGCCTTGAAGTGCCAGCATCCCTGGTGCCATGGACCCTGGGAAATATAGTTATCATTTCTCTAGGGTGGTTGTTTACATAGAAGAGCAACACATCAGGTACAGCTATAAACATATATATTGGGTTTGTCTTATTAAGAGCCAGTTTGGTTTAGTGGCTAAGAGTGGCAGACTCTAATCCGGAGAACTAGGTTTGATTCCCCACTTCTCCACATGTAGGCAGCTGAGCGATCTCAGGTCAATCACAGTTCTCTCAGAGCTGTTCTCCCAAGAGCAGTTCTCTCAGAGTTCTCTCAGCCCCACCTACCTCAGAGGGTGTCTGTTGTGAGGAGAGGAAGGGAAGGAGATTGTAAGGGTGGGGTATAAATCCAACTCTTCCTCCTCCTCCTCCTTTTTCTTCTTGGCTTGCACCCTAATACTACAAAACTCTGAAACTCCTCCCTGGGGAGATTTGTTTGTCTTCCTCTATTGGTGTCTTCTGCCAGTGGGTGAAGATTTGCTTTGTTTAGTTTGACATACCTCCTATAACAGTTATTGGCCCTCCTTCCTGGTTCTCGTGCTGTTTCTTATGTGTTTTTATTGAATTATTTTATAATTTTAATGTTGTTTTCATTTGTTCTAATGTTTTATGTGTGCCACCTTGGGGACCTGGATTGGGTGGAAAGGCAGCAAACAAATAATCCTAAATACAGCTACACCTTTTCAAATTCATTGAAGTCAACGGGCTCAGGAGGGTTTATCTTTTCTTAGGATTGTTGCCAAGTTCCTGCTGATGGTGGGGGATCTCCTGCCCCCCAGGTGGCCCTTCCCACTGCCGCTCATCTGGGAGGCGGGAGAAAAATGAGAGGAAATGGGGGGGCAGTGACCAGCATTCTGATGCACTGATGGCATTTTTGGTGTTGCTGATGCTGTAGCATTTGGTCAAGTGATGATATCACTTGTGGTTCCACTGGAATTTATGTCAATGCATCATTCATTAGTCTGATGATTTTGGGATTTTGGGATTTTGCTGTAAATGTCTCAGAAATGACTCAGAAATATTCTTCTCTCCTTTGCACACTCAAAATCCTCAAGAATAAAAATGGGGGGGGGACACATGATTCCCTGTCTCTAAATGTATTTTTAAATGTGCCTAGTACTGAAATGATACCAACTCCAATTCCCCAGGCAAGTATTTCTAAAATGGCTTTATTGATTTTGTAGGTCAAGTATCAAACCGGTGGATCAGAGTGCACACAGGTGGAAAGAACTGAGATTTTGAGACTGGAGACTATAGATTCTTGGGAGTATCAAGGAGATATGAGGGAAATAGATTGTTTTTAGTAAAGGTAAAGGTTCCCTTGCTCGAAAGCCAGTCGAATCCGACTCTAAGGTTGTGGTGCTCATCTCCGTTTCCAAGCCGAAGAGCCAGCGCTGTCCAAAGACATTTCCGTGGTCATGTGGCCGGCATGACTAAACGCCAAGGCGCACGGAATTTTGCTTTTAGGAAAGGGTTATTTTATCCAGAAATAACTATGTACACTGAGGGCAATGATGGCTCTCATTTTTGACTCTCTTACTCTTTTCTAGTCTGGGTAAAGAATGCTAAGTCCTCTTCTGAACCTCTTCTACAACCAGCACTAATAAAGTGAGTACAATATAGAAATGCAATATAGAGAATATGTATAAAAGCATTACTGTACCTCACATGACAAACCAGTATAACCCAAAGGGCAGTCGCATTTCTCAATTAATTGAGCACGAGGAGTCCTTCCTGATATGTTTCCTTCCTCTGCAAACTCCATAGAGATCTCAGATATTCTGGGATGGGGGTAGGGCAGATGAGAAACACTAGTTAATAAAGTTCTTCAAAGTAGGTTTGGGTTGTTGTTTTTTTACTAACATCAAGCCTCTTGACATCATCCACATACGAAAAACAAACATTTATTTTGGTCTGTCTGAAAGAGAGATCAAAGCTAGGCCTGTTTCAACCTCTCCTCATTCTTACTGAATTGTAATTTATACCAATGGAACTGATATAAAATATCTTTGCTAATTCACCCACAATGTTGTTTTGTTTGTATTTTAGTTTAGAGCCAAAACCTGTCAAAAGCCTACATTTAATTGAAGTCACATATTAAGCCTGGATGTAGTTCACAATTCACAGATACACCACAATAAAATTGTATAGTAAATGATGATGTTTTAATGAGGCAAGTTGAAAATAAAAGAAAAAAAATATCCTGAAACTAATCATATAGCAGAACAAATCTTCTGCAAATAAAACAAAGCTAACAAGACATGCTATGGAATTCAAAGACACGGGGGACTTGCCTTTATAGAAAATTTTAAGATCTTCAGCCATAATTTATTTTCTTGTTCCAGTTAGCTTAAGGACACTCAAGACAAACAGACTGAAACATACATATTTATTATGCTAGATACAGACAGTTTGAGTGAGATGCATGGTTGAGACTTCTTTTGTTGTTCAGTCGCATAGCTGAGTCCGACTCTTCACGACCCCATGGACCAGATCACGCCAAGCCTTCCTGTCTTCCGCCGTCCACTGAAGTTGGCTCAATTTCATGTTCGTTGCATCTATGACACTGTCTAACCATCTCATCCTTTGCCGCCCCCTTCTTCTTTGACCTTCAATCTTTCCCAGCATCAGGGTCTTCTCCAGTGAGTGCTCCCTTCTCATTTGGTGGCCAAAGTATTTGAGCTTCAGTTTCATTATCTGGCCTTCCAGGGAACAGTCAGGGTTGATTTCTTTTAGGATTGACTGATTTGATCTTCTTGCAGTTCAAGGGACTCTCAAGAGTCTTCTCCAGCACCATAGTTCAAAAGAATCTATTCTTCGGGGCTCGGCCTTCCTTATAGTCCAACTCTCGCAGCCATACATGACTACTGTTTTGACCATGCGGACTTTTGTTGGCAGGGTGATGTCTCTACTTTTTGTCATGCTGTTTAGGTTCACCATCGCTTTCCTCCCAAGGAGCAGGCGTCTTTTAATTTCATGGCTGCTGTCACAGTCTGCGGTGATCTGGGATCCCAGGAACGTGAAGTCTGTCACTACTTCTACGACTTCCCCTTCTATTTGCCAAGGAGTGATGGGGCCGGATGCCATGATCTTAGTTTTTTTTTATGTTGAGCTTCAAGCCCACTTTTGCGCTCTCCTCTTTTACCCTGAGCAGGAGGCTCTTTAGGTCCTCTTCACTTTCTGCCATTAGAGTGGTATCGTCTGCATATCTGAGGTTGTTGATCTTTTTCCCAACCTCAGATATAGAGGGCCTGAGACTTCTATAGTTGAACAAATCTTGATTACAGACCTTTCAGACTGTAAACCTTTTCAGCCATGCTGATTTCTCTTCATTATGCTATTTCTATCCACACACACCTCTTCCCATGATGTGGGAAGGTTCATTTGTATGAGCCCCCTTGATTCTGAAGAAAATCAGGAGATGCCTTACTTAGGCCACCTGGTCCTGATAGAGTAAAAAGAACAGTATCAGGGCCTCTCAGTGTTGGAATCTGTGCAGAGGAACTCCCTAGTGACATTTAGGAGTGTAACAACTTCCCATTTTAGGAAGCCATCCGAGATTGATACTGGTTCTCTCCATTTGCTTCCATTATATGTACATATTTAATGCTGAAGCTATTTCTTTATATATATGTGTGTATGTGTGTGTTATAGTTACCGTATTTTCCGGACCATAAGACGCACTTTTTCTTCCCAAAAAAGTGGGGGAAGAAGTGTGTGCGTCTTATGGACCGAAGGTGGCGCTGCTGCATCCAAATAATGCCCCCCCCCGGCGCCAGAGCGCTCAGCTTCTTAGCCGCCAACTCACAGGTTTGTCTTAGTTCAGGAAGGCTCCAGAGCAAAGTGATCCCTTGCAGCAGCCAAATCGCTCCCTGCCCTCCCGGCCTGGCAGGGCTCTCTTCCTTCCCGCGCTCAAAGAATGCTCCCTCCCCCACGGCGCCGCGTCTGAGAGAGCACTCAGCTTCTTAGCCTCCAACTCACAGGCTTGTCTTAGTTCAGGAAGGCTCCAGAGCAAAGTGATCCCTTGCAGCAGCCAAATCGCTCCCTGCTGTTTTGTGAGCTGCTGGCTTTGAAGTTGTGAGCCAGCGCTTTGGCTGCTAGCTAAGCTCACACTAACTCAGCTTTGAGGGAACATTGCGTAAGCGTGCACTACAGTCCTTCTGGCACACCTTGAGAGTTTAACTGACTGATTTAGTGGAATTTACTCCCAGGTAAACTGTGCGTACCATGAAGGCTGCAGTCCTAAGAATGGCTTCCCCATTGAATAAAATGAGATTTGCTGCTGAGACGACCTGCTGTTAGGGTTGCTCCCTAAAACTCTTCAACACTGAAATACCCTTCCCTATAGAAACAGAGGAGCTCCAAGAGTTTGCATTCTGTCACGGAAATCGATTCGGCGTTTGTGCAATAGGTCTGTGTAGACAGTAAAGTCACAACAAGCGCCGCCGCTTTGTATTTGCAAGGCTGCTGGGTGGCACTTTAAAAGCTCCGGCTCGCGTAGCCTGTCTCCCACCCCATCCCCTGGGGGAGCCGAGTGTCTGTTGCTCTTAAAGGCACAGGAGCCCTATGCGCAGGGGGGGGGGAGTGCTGAAAATATTGGTATCCTGCTTGATCCCGGGCAAACAAAAGGAGGCAAGGTGACTTGCTAAACATACAAAAAAAATCCCATCCGAGGGTAAGAAACTGCGAGCGAGCTGGTTGTCTTCCCCATCCAGGCCGCCCACGGTGTGTGTGTGTGTGTGTGTGTGTGTGTGTTTGGATGGTGGGAAACACCTCAGGAGCCGCGGGCGGATGCCGCCTTCGGCCTCAACCGGCGCTCCCCCCCCCATGCGGAGGAGGAGGAGGCAGCCTACGGGGGCAACGGGAAGGCGTGCAAAGCGAGCAGCACGCCTGGGCACCTGCTCGAAAGCCACCGCTCACCCCAGGATGACGGCAAGAGTCTCGGCCGGGGACTGAGAGTCGCCCGCCTGGCGTTCTGGCCTTCGCGGCCCGAGGCGCGGAGAGGCAGCTGCGGCTGGGAGAGGCTAAAATTTGGTTTAGAATATTTTTTTTCATGTTTTT